CGGGTACGGTATATTTACGGATAATTTCGAAACGCTTTTAACTGGAAGAAATAAAAATCAAATAACTTTTAAAAAGTCCTTGTTGAAATTATCTCTGCTCATAACTGTAGTGTAGTAAATTCATGAGCATTCTAAATACTCTCCAAGGCAAAACAAATAGGTGAAATATATTATATTAAAGGTCGATAGTGGGTTTATTCTGCAGTTGCGAAACTTAAACGAATTTCGTAGAGCCATGTTTGGATGGGTGACCAAAATGTTGTTACCTATATGTCAATGCTGTATACCGATTGTAACAAGTTTCCACTATTCCGAACTGGACTCACATGGTGGGTTCCTCTTATGGTCCATTCCTCTTATTATCATTAAATCCATAGGAAATGCCTTAATAGATGATAAAACATCAAACATATTATCGTCTATTATAAGCATAGGCCCATGTAGGCGATAATTTTAGAAATAAAAAGACTAACTAATAACTAATTCTAATGGAATCGAAGTCGCTTGTAAATTAGCAATGAAAAGACAAACATACAAACATTAATTTAAGTTATACTATCGATAATTATTTCGTAGGTAGTTTTATATCACTGTGATTGCCAACATTATTTGACAATAATTATGGCAACATTAAATTATTTTGCAATAATACAAATTACATATCGTTTCAATAATGCTAACTACCACACACAACAAAGCTCCAATAGATGTGCACTATCCAAGGTGTTATGAATCTCCAAGTGCATTGTTGGATTTCCACATATCAGCCGCAATCTATTACGACCAATTCGATCTTGTCTTCCTGTTTCAGCACAATAGAATTCCCGACAATTTTGCTTAGATTGGGCTAGATAGTAGAGAATTAGGTATATGGACAGATTCTTATTGTGGCCAAACTTATATTTTATCCTATACTAAAATATACATTCGCATATATTGTGAAGTCTTTTCGTCTATCCTGCTCTAACTTATATAGTTTAATGTCAGTAGGACACAGTACGGTATAGATATCAAAAGTTGGTTTTAAGAATACAATCCCGTTTTATAATTAATACATTTTAGTCGCCCAAGCGATGGTCCACTATTGCTAATAGTTTCAATGAAAGGACCATAACATTAGCCTTTAAAATATTGATAGACAAAAATAGTTATCCATTTCTATGGGGTAACGCTTGGCAAGCAGGTTGGCGATCGCAGTGGGCCAAAGATCTTAGAAAACCTTTCTCCTGATGACTGTGTTCGCTTAGTCGCCTTGTACGAAACCCACAGGTTGACAAGAGGTGGTCATACTCTAGGCCGGCTCACACACGGTGAAGTGAAGTAGCAGTGGGTGGGACACATAGCGAGAAGAACTGATGGCCGTTGGGGCGGAAGAGTTCTCGAATGGCCACCACGTACCGCATGTGCATGAAGTTTTACGCTCAATGGGTAGGCCTCCCAGCAGGTGGACCGACGATCTTATAAACGTTGCGGGAAGCCGCAGGACCAATCGTCGTGAAAATTACACTCAGCAGTAGGCGTCTTACGGCTGATGATGAGACAAAAATAGAAACCCCGAGATCTTTAATTATATATTACATCTGAACAAGAATACAATATACATAATTATGACGTTATAGTAATAGAATTAAAATATTAAACTAAACTTTAACTAACATCCTCACAACAAGTTGCTTCAGTTGATATATCAACACGACACATTCAAATTAATTCGGTCTTTATATACGCAACTCAATCAGTCCAATTTATTATGAATGACGGCGGAACGGACTGATAATAGTTCAATTTTTATTTTTGAAGTACGACACCCTACGAAGATAAAAAAAATAATAATAATGAGTTGTTACACAGGTCAGTATAACGACTTCGTTCTATTTGCGGTCGTCGCACGTGCGTTCTTAATGTATCCGACGAAAAAGGTCGGAGTTCGACAAAAAGCTTCATTACCGTTAAATTCTACTGTTCTCGAACATGCTCCAGGAGGTTTTTGCTTCACGGGACATATGGATCTTCACCAATAGACAGAGGCGGATTATTCTATAAGCAAACGTGCTCAGGAGAGCAAAGTGCAAAGGCGCAAAAGACGAAAGAGACCTTAACTCTCGACCTATATTGTAAATATTGCTACTTTAGGTACGTGTATAAACAACCTTTTATTATAGTGTCCAATTCCCAAAATATTCAATCCCCGAAATGTCGAGTTCAGTATCATGATGGGTATGTTCCATATACAGATAAACAAAATTTAGCAAGGTTGTTAATGTATCCTATTTAGGAGATTGAATATTTCGGAAATGTAAATTTGGGAAATGGACATTTTGAAACTTTTAGATATTTTAGGACTTGGACATTCTTAACCGAAAGGTACATAATTATTATTAGAGACTTCTTATTTTTTTACTCTACCTCTATTTATTTATGTTATGTTATTACTATTATTCACTTATAAGTATACATTTATATTTCAACCGCTGTGCACAACTGCTTATAGGTAAACAAGCATGTACTAAGTTAATGCAGCTTTCATTTAAGTATCTTAAAGTTAAAAAGTACAGTTATGAGTTGAACGCCAAAACGACTCTTTGTTGCATCATAATGTGATATTAACTTACCCTAGATTCTAGTGAAAAACAAAATACGGCGGTTGTTTCGAACGTACATACGACGCTGGTGAAGCCGCTGGCGGAAAGCTAGTTAAAACTAATACAATATTTATTTTATAAATAACAATAAGTACCCTGTTTTCAGCAACTTTGCTTTCTTTACTTTTAACATGTATATGAGTTATCACTGCGCGGGGCGCCGATGAAACATAATCCCTCATGATCCACCACTGACCACAGGGTGGTGTAGTTTTTACTATATTATGACATGACTTCGCGTATCGTCCCTTTGACTTTACATAGATATTATAAACGCTCTATTATGGCTCAGACAAGCAATATTCATCTCCAATGAGCCGTCACGTCTTAACCAGTCGCGCATATTAATATAAATATTATAAATAGAAAAGATTTGATTTTTATTTGCATCGAATCGACGTAAGATATGTATATAAAACTATATCACCCGCGTATGATGCAGCTTACCGTCGGTGAAAGGATTTTCAAAAATAATGTTAGAAACTTTACCTCGAGATGTATCAGTTGTCAATTTGTATTTATATAACATAACAGAATATCAAACACGTTTCTGAAACGGAATACATATTTCATCAACTTGATAGTTTAAGATTATACGAAACATGTATGACACGTAATGTAATGAAACTCAATTATAGTATTTCGAAGTTTATGTTTAAGTGAAAATAAGGTTTAAAATGCTTTACGTCGGAACGTAAGACGCTTCCGTCGATAAAAGTGCATGAAGTTTTACGAGCGTCACCGTGTTCAACCATTTCACAAGACGACGTATAATAAGATACGGGAAAATATAAAGATAATATTTCAAAATGTTATTTAGATGTCAATAAAGGAGCCTATGAAAATAATTACAGCTCAGTTCGAACTTGGAATTTGCCTTGAGTTTGTCTATAGAATACTCAACACTGATAACCGTTAGCAGCATGCGTACTCTTAAATGCAATGAAATGAAAATATCTTTATTCAAGTAGGCTTATTACAAGCACTTTTGAATCGTACAAAAAAATTTTTTTCCCCTACCACTTCTTCAGAATGTCTTTTAGCTGACAAGAAGAACAAGCGAAAGAAACTTACCAGCTCTTTATCATAAGTAATGACATTTACATAAATCATGTCATTACCAAAATAATATGTATTATCACAATAATACATACAACTTTCAAAGTCTGTAGGACATAGGTTAGACATATAATTATAATATAAAATACAAAACAAATCACGATCGATCGACATTGCAATTGTGACGTTAGGTACCTTTTATTTGGTACAATAGCGCAAATTAGCTCAATATTGCGTGGTTCTTGAATGAACTAATTGACATTGAATAGGTGTGAGTCTATATTTCAATAGTACGAGCTAAGATTAGATGAAATTAGAGATCGGATTGGATTGAAATTGACATTGAGATAAGTTAAGAGTAAGCCTTCGGGTATTAGCATTGAGCACAAATGTCTCATGTTTGTATTGGTAATAATAGTTCTTTTTTATAGAAGTAGGTGGCGCTGTTTCAGTACAAAAAATGATGTTCGTACCATCAGGGTTGTTGCTTAGATATGTGGATTTACTGTATCAGTACTGTAATAGCAGTAGTAGCTCGGTGGCGTAGTAGTTAAGCAACTTTCGCAAGGGTCGGTCACGGGATGGGTGACCAAAAAATTATTATCTCAAGCTACTCCGTGCTTCGGTAGGCACGCTAAGCCGTTGGTCCCGGCTGCATTTGCAGTCGTTAATACCCTCCAATCTGCATTGGGCCAGCGTGGAGGGTCATGGCCCAGGAAGGCCTAAACCCCCTGCAGTGGGGACGTAAAAGAGCTGGTGATGATGATGACTGTATCAGCGGATGCTGATACTGATATTTCCAGTATGGCAGCTAAACGTCTACATTCGCCGTTTGGTAGGTTTATAAAAAATATGCTTTAGGGTCGTTAGCCATAACCACAACAGTAGTACCGCTACGGATATGTAGATCGTAGTAACATCCGTAGTCGTAGTAGTAGTGCTACGCGACTACAGTCTCTTCCTTCCTACGAATAAGCTTGCGGTGCCTCGTATTAAGAAAGTTACGCGGAAAAATTTAATAAGTTTTTTTTTTATTATTTACTCGTAAACTATTACAAAAAGTGAAACAATATATTTTCCATAAAAATATAATTACACCAGAAATAGACAAAATTGGGAATTATATGGTAACTTTGTCTTTTTCATATAGAAAAATCTTTATAAATTCACGTTTTGGCTGTAACAAAACCTTTAGAAATAACAAGTTATTTTCTCATTTCTGTTAAAAGTTTATGAATTTGCGTGTTGCGTGAAGCGCTCTCTTAAGGCACCGGAATACTATATCCGTCAACTCTACATCTAATTCGCTTGCGCAATGCGCTTATATCTCATTGGCGCAAAATCCATACCGTACGCCGTCGCCTTAATAAGCAATCAAATCACGCGTCATTGGAATTCGCCTTAACCATTTTAATGTTTCAAAGCTCTCCGCAATTTTAAGTATTCGCCCTTCTAAAAAAATGTAATCATAAATACATCCGTCGATTAAATTTATAAATAAATCGTAAAAAGAAGGGCGGCATTGCCTTTAGAAGTATAACGTCACAGGTTTGAAGACTATAAAATAAAATATCTCAACAATTTATTCGGCACATATTTTTAAACGTTTGCTAAAATATTTCTCGTTGAGCCGTAAATAAACATTTAGCGATGCAGCAATTTCATGAAAAAATACCAATTTCATATAAAAACATTTTTTTTTAATTCATCGTCTTTATATTAACAAAATCTTAAGAAAGTATATGCTTTCTTGTGGATACAAGGCATTAAGTAGGCATGTAGTTAGGTATATTGTTTCCTACCAAACAAATGTTGATATAAGCACGGTACATACAATTTACGCCTCATCTACTTTCATTACTCTTTTCATACATACTTGCCAATTTGTATGACTCCTGACATCACCTTCTAACAGCACGCGATTGATTAAGCAAGAAATCTATATACTTGTAAGTAGTACACGAAGTACAAAACGAACTGTTTTGTTTTTTCTACTAATTTTCACAGATAATTACGAGTGAATTGCCTTGCTCTTTGTTGTCAATGCTGTTCGCACATACCCATCTAAACTTTTTAATATATCATTGGTCAGATATTATATCCCTATGTCATTTCGAAACTCACTTTACTTACGATACGTTAATACCAATTCAAGTTTAAACGGATGTCGCTTTCGGAATAAATTCGTAAAACTGAGTTCGGATTCGGACAACTGAGGAAATTCGGATTCGGATATTTGCGTAATCGCTGTGCTGTACCGCTACTTCGCCAGGACGTAACTAATATATTTAAAAACTTTACTCTAGAAGGACAACAATCACAAAAAAAAACAGTTAATTTAATGCTGTCAGGATATACTAAGAAGGTCAGGTCAATATAACAAAGAAATAAATAAATCAAAAATATATCGTGTCAAAAAGACCGAGGTCCTAGTAAATTTTAGAAAATATAAAATTTCAAAGTTACCTGTACAAGAGTCGCGTCGGCACTGACGGTGTAGACGCCGCGGCAGTCTGGTGCCTCCTCTGGCTTATCGGTAGCCGGCGAGCGTCGCCAGCAAGCCGCACAAACCGCCACCAATACACCACACAGCGTTGCACTTCACAAATAAAATAACAAATATTTACAATTCATATTAATTACGAAACAGAATTCTTCAATTGACTAACTATAAAACAAAACAAGTTTTTTGTTCTTGTATCATTAATAATCTTGTATATTCACAGCGTTCTATTCATGGTATATTGTCTGCCGAATAAGTTACTATTATTGAAGTTGCTTTTGCAGGACATGTCTACATGTCTCGGTCTTTTGTCAATCTTTCTTGTGACTGTGATATACATGTCGAGATTATCTTCCTTATCATTATTACAGTAATCATAGACCTAAGTACAGAACGGTATAACTTTCGAAAATATTAGCCTCAGCCTAATTCGGACCACAACTAAGTAATATTATAATATTGTTTTAATGTATTCCAAAAACCACCCAAAAAGTATAGTATTATTAGAATTAACGGTCACTGATCAAAGTCAATGTCAAAGTCAAAGTCAAAATAATCTTTATTCAAATAGACTTCTTACGTTGGACGTCTTTTGGCTGATAAGAAGAACGAGCAAGAAACTCACCAGCTCTAATAAGAGTAATGACATTTACAAAAACCATGTCATTACCAGATCAATACATTATAAACAGAGATTAAAAAAAACTATGGTCTTATAATAATAACATAATCATTTAATAATAATTGATCTAATTGTGGAATACAATAAAATAAATAAATAATAATCCAATTCGTGGTAGTGGTAAGTATACAGTTGTCAAATTTTATTAGATACTAAGTTTCCGCCAGCGGCTTCACCCGCGTGAACCCTAGGGAACTGTAGGAAGCCCATTTGTTAATCCAAGTTTTTAAACTTATTAAGTAATTATTTCAAATCACTACACGGTTGAAGAATAAAGAATTTGAATCGTAATTACAATGACAAATTGATTAGTTATCAATTATTACTGTGGTAACGTGTTAATTACCTATATCCCTTCCACTCCCATTTTCATCCCTTTAATAACTGTTTTTCAGGATAAAATATAGCCAGTCCAGTAGCTTCGGAGCCTGAACGATGCAAAGAAACAATCAAATCTTTATTCTTTAAATATTAGTATAGACCAATACCACATAGTATCACGGTATGGATAGCTACCTTGGTATTATGGTACCTATCACGATGTTAGCCCTAAGTTCGGAAAAGCGTTGCTATTTAGATATTTATATTCAGCAAACTCTCAATTCTCTCAAATTGAGCAATGTATGCACTTTACCAGGGCAACAGAAAAACCGAAGATATAATAAGGTAACTAGACGTTTGATAACAGAATTTCATTTCCCGTGGGAGTTTTGGAAAATAATTTCTTAACAGATATCGAGTTCTTATACGGAACTCGCATTCTAAATTTAAATTTCTCGTGGTATAAATATTGAGCTTCTTTTTGAAACATTGAATTGGTAATCTTATCAATTACTAGCTGTTTCCCGGGACTTCGCCCACGTAAATTATATTCTATATCACCTGCGTATATGAAGCTTCTCGTAGGTGAAAGAATTCTCATGATCGGATCAGTATTTTCGAGGATCAGGATGATCCTGATGATCCTGATACTCGTAGGGGATGCTCTACACACATATAAAATAAACGACCTCCGTAGCAGAGTGGTTCGCACACCGGTTTCAAGTTGTCGCCATCTCTGAGGTCCCAGTTTCGATTCCCGGTCGGGATATTCTGCAGAAGTGCCAACGCGGGCTATTTGTGAATACAATTACTTATTTATATCCAAAATCCATCACGTGTAATAGCTATTCTCATCACGTGTAAATGACATAATACGGAACGCCGTTTACTCACAATTTACCAATTTTTCCTATAAAATATGTGGTTAATTAAAACAAGAAATTGAATTGAATTTTGGAGGTAGCTTTGTGATTTGTGATGCGAGAAAAATACTCATATTTCTGTATACAAAACCATTTAAAAGATAGCGATTTTGTTGTGAGCACCCTCTTAAAATAACAACCCTTGAACGTACTCTATGTATGTACCGAAGTGTTGTATGTTTAATTTGATTTTAATCTCGAGGGCGCTAAAAGATATTTTCAGACCTTTTCAGTAGCATAACTCGTTTGCCACGCTATAAAAAATAATTACCTCTTAACAATATAATAATATATCAGTCCGAAATTAACTGAATGCTTAAATGGTAAATTAACTAATAATTAAAATTTTATGAATTATTTAGTTTATTTATTTACTTATTTAGTTTTAAATATTGCTAGTCATCAGTGCGCCCTATTTTCCCAAAAAAAGGGCGTCACAATGCTAAGCTAGATGTATCACGCCATTATAAATAAGGAGTTATAATAGTAATTAGTTCTTAAGTTTTTTTTTAATTACCTAATGGCGAATTATACTGTTTCATTTAATATTTCAAAAAAATATGTAATTGGAAGATCCCATCAGGGATTCATCGGTAAAAAGTCGACCTTAGATTGATAAAGTTGGTCACCCCTGCTCTATATTAATAAATGTGTCACCTTGTAGCTTTTAAAGGGAGGTTTTGCAATAATCATAATAGACCGTGGTAATAGTTCCTTCTCGTTTTCTCTTGTCTTACGCCCAGCCTTAAATTCTCCTTAATATACTCATTTGCAGGATTTAATAGCATTCCTATTACGAAAAGCGTTTCAGTGCATTAATCAAAGCACATGTTAACAGCACGATTAGGTAGATTCGCTAGTCTTAATGTTAGAAGTCACCTACCTCCGCTGAGTGAAATTGCAAATGAGTTAACCTGCGTCGAGATTAGAGAGGGGTGCGATAGGTGCGATTAAATAATTAGCTACCGTTATCTGTTAGCTACATCGTTGCAATTATCTATTTAGTTAGCGCTGATAACTATAGACGATAACGTTTGTTTTTTTTTAATCTTGTGGAAGCTCGCCTTAATTGAAATAGGCGCGAATAGACTGTTCGATTTTTAAATTGTCGTCCCCTTTTATCGGATCTTTGTAAACTAGCAGCGCGCTGTAATCTCGCTCTTTTCCCAAGCTTACATGCAAATGGATCCTTCTAAACACACACGGTACGATTCTTATCTGCGTTATGGCCATTTACGCGGCAATAAAAGTAATTTCGACCAAGCTTTAGCTGTTACGGGCGATTGTGATAATTTCTGATTTAAAATTTAAAAAGCAAGTTTATGTAGTATCTAAGCTTATTTTAATATCTTTGCTTAATTTTTATTATCATGAATTTATATTTATTATTTTTTTTTACTAATGAATAAGAAAGACATAACACTTTAATTTGCATCATTCCAAATTGTGGCTTAGAAAACGGTTCGGATACCATGCTGGACTCGAACTTATGTCCTTTCTCTATGCGGACGAGTGCGCTTCCAAATAAGCCAAGAACTTATCAGTTGCGCTACAAGTTATACCACTAGTGTGTAGGTCTCATCTCAATTTTATACATATTTATAAAGATAGATCTTCAATTAACTTTTTAATAATAAAAAATACCTTTATGTTATCAATTTAGGCAGGCAATTCACTGTTTATAATACATAACCGACTAAATTCCATTCAAAATTACTTCACGTTTTATTAATCTTAAACGCTTACTGCGCTCTTGGTTTCGACCCGATTTCGATCCCTTTCCTCAGTACACCGCAAGTCGTTTGTACCCCCAAGTGACTCGGAATTGGTATCACATGTCAAATAAGCGGACACTAGCGATCACTAAAATTGAATCCAGCCCGAGCTACTCCAGAAGACAAGAGTTCGGGGACTTCTGAACTGTGGATATGCCAGCTTCATACATATTGAAATATAACAATTTTGTTTCGTTGCCGAGTGTCATATCTGAGGGCCCGGGTACATTTTCCAGTCGGGGCAATGTAAAAAATTAACTTGTCTATATTGTCTCGAGTCTGGCTATTGTGGTATCCTCATTGTATCAGATACTCCATAATACGAGGGCTTTTTTAGCTCATCATCTTGGAAGCCGGGCAATGTATGCGATGTTGTATAATATTGATTAAATTATGTAATTATTACTTTTATTTCACTGACTAATATAGTCTACAGATATGTACATTGAATTAAGAAAAAGCTTTTAAATAATTTAGTTTCCAATTAAACCTTAAACGCGTTTAACCTTTTTAAATGTTTTTTTCGCGTGCTCCATATCGATAAGCTTAATCGCCAGTTAAATCGTTATCACACGATAGGCCCAACCAATTATAGTACTGTTACATAAAAATATGGTAATGTAATAAAATTTGAAAATGGAAACTTTGCACTTTTATAGTGGCACAAAAAAGGAACCTAATTGTTAATACAGCTTGAGAATTATGAGTATACCAAACTTCATCGAAATCCATTCAGTAGATTTTGCGTGAAAGAGTAACAAATACCTATCCTCACAAAATTTCGCGTTTTCAATATTAGTAGCATTCATATTTATTTACTTACCAGCAACGTATGCGGAGTGAAGATATTTATGCATTTTAGGGTACGTTCATTACAGCATTGGAACACATATTTAAAGTTTATTTCGTATCTATGCTCTAGGACTAAGTTATATGTGTGGAACAACTCCGATCTCTGACATTTGTAATTGTTACACTAAACTTAGAAGCTTGGAAGACACTGAGCAAGAATAGATGCCCTTGGAACTTCGACGAGAACAGAACTTCAAGTTTATTTTATTGAAATCTTGGGTTATTCTTGCTGACCAGTGAGTGGCTCAAATTGCTGAATAAATAATAACTGTTATTCTTTTGAAATAAAATAAAACATATTGTAAACACATCGCAACAGTTTATGTGTTTGCCTGTTTATCAGAAAATGATTAGGCCATTTCTCAAGTAGTAACTTCTCTCGGCTTGAGTTGATGTTTTTAAACCTATAGACGAAAATTTTAATGAAAAAAGAAGTTACTATTAACAGTTCTTACTTCATTCAAAATTATTTGTAAAAATATTTACTTAAGTAATTACTTTGACTCGACTATAGAACACGGAACTTATAAAAAATCCGAAACATCTAAACTAAAATGAATTAAATGTAAACGCGTTAAATTCGTTTAAAGTAATTTTATTTAATGAGTGGTGCGCGTGAAAACGTAAGAAACCAGAATAAATAAGATCAGTTTGACTTGGTGCGACTCGGAGTAATCGTAATTGTGCACTCTATATGTTGATCGACTCAGCAATTTTGATATTCTATATAAAAATCATTCTCGAACTCGACGTCGAAGACAGCGCTGTCACAGCATAGAAGTACAATTATATAAAATATTTTACACTTTAAACTTTGAAGTAGGTTTTATTTGATACGATAATAGCATCACTACGCTATCATAGGATAGTGTCGAGTTTTAATCCGATTTATTTTCAGAATAACACTACAGAAATTCAGTATACACTTATAGTTCTGCACAGTATTATTCCAAATTGAACATGATCGTCGCCACAAAATGAAGGACGCATATTTTTTTTAAATAACCTCACCATAGTTATATGTCAAATAAAAAGGCTTGACTACTTTTTGCTAATTTAATTCTTCTGTATATTCTAGTAAGAACTTAATTGAAAAGTCGAGGACAAAGATTCTCAGAGTACATTTAATTTTAAGAAGGCCGCGCGCACCTGCGCTTTGGCCTAAATTATTTAACAGTGAATCCTCTTACCCTTTACCCAGAAATGTTATGTTTAATCTCGGCAATAAATCTCGAAGGAAACCCAAGAGAAAAATTTACTCATCTATAAAACTGGTCGTATGTGACCAATGTAGTTATTGGTGGCTCGCCGGCCATCACGCTTGTCTTGTTATCATCGTAAAAATGTTACGAGCTCTTCTCTGAGGGTATATGATTTACCTGCCTCTGACTTGTGCTCCCAAATCGGATCTAACTTTTATGACGCCGACCATTAGACAGTCTAGAATGATGAAGAAATAAATTAATCTAAGGTTCCGATTATTGGCTCTCTGAACCTGATCAAGTTTCATTTGTTCATCAAAGTTCAAAACCTGGAAATTCATGACAAATAATACTTAGTAAAAAATTTTTGTTGTGTTATTGTATAAGTGTTATTCGTAAAAAAAGCTTTTAAATAATGAAAGTTTGATATAATTCTTAATCAAATACCGCGGTACATTAAAAATCGCGGTTTATTATTATGTTCGAATGTAAGAAAGTTTGAAAGAGTAACTTTGAAAATAGTTTTTTAGTACCAACCTTACGAAAAATATATTGACTGTATAGTGTGGCGCTTCTGTTTGCGCGACCCCGGATTGCGTGTGATTATAATAATGCCTCGAATGGGAAACGGCTGCTACGGCCGCTAGTCTCTGAGAGCTGCCCATGGCCCAGCCGAGTGGGCTGCGCTGGGCACCGACGCCACCCACGCCTCCCACCAGCCACAAGAAGCGCCAGTGAGCCACAGCCGCACAGCGCAGCGCCGCCTGCGCGACTGCCGCGGCAATAGCCGGCTTCTTTTTTCAAAATTGAAATCTTTTTTCTTTATAATCTCAAAATGGTTTCATTTATACTCCTTTCGGCCAATACCCTAAATACCATTTGGCGCATTGCTTCTGTATTTACAGACGTTCATCTGAAACAATACAATCCTGACTATAAACACTCTCCGTCTATTTTCGGCATATTATCAAATTATATATTCAGGAACTTTGCCGAGTTAAGCTTAATTGGATTCAGAAAACATTCTGTTTCCAATAACGAATTGTACTTATTCCAATGGTGAAATGGTGCGTGATCTAACTGCGAACACCGTTCAAAATAGCGTCAGAAAGAACAACAATAATTCTAATTAAGGGAACACTTAGAAATTCTGCACTGCAAAAGAATTTAAGTGGGCTTTTCGGAATAATACATTCAAATGACTCAAAGTTTGCTAAATGATCAAATAATATAACTTGGCTCTAATTAAGCATTGTCATTACTTATTTATATAAATAGTATTATAACCAATATGTCTTGTCAATCTCGTTGCAATACTACATAATTTGGTCACAAGACATTATGAAATAGCTTCACAATTAATTTGCTGACGTAAATTATGACGTGTTGCGGTCGCAGGACTACGGACAGGGAAATTATTAACGATGCTATCTAGGTAACGAAATTATTACCGTACTAACTTTGCATAATTTAATTTAAGCCCTATTGCTTCTTACTCAAAAGTTACTAGTAACTAATGACAGTACGTGCTTAGGGTTTAAATTTTAATTTTAATGTTCATTTTACTTTTCAGTCAACATAAATTCTAATTGCTTAGAGAATGTCTTTTATATCAGAACGGTAGAATTTTAATATCCTCTTAAATAATCCAAAGATCCAAATTGTCGAGCCTCCACGGGATTATTTCCTAGTAAGCAGAGACAATGTAAACATAATAATTACTCTCACGCTCAAGATAAAAGGGTTTCCGTGATCGATGTTCTGAGCGCGAAATTAAGGGTGTCGTAGTTAACGCCCGTAAATAATTCCTGTCCGGGTTGTATATACTGGGAGCATCCTTACGTGCCATTAACTCGTCCATTGTCTATCTTTCAAGCAGTCTATGATTTGGCATGTATGAGGCCTTATTTTAAATTTCGAATCCATGTGAGTTTTTAAATTGACATTCTGCAATTCGTTCGATTGTGTTGTCCGTGGGAGCAGAATTTTAACCAGGTACAAGAGTTCACATTCACTTAGTAAATTCGTAAATGGAACAAAATTCGCAAGAACTGCATCTGGAATTTTTACTTGGAAGTCGTGAAAGAGGCACTTAAAGTATGAGATGACGTAAAGGATGACATTTCATAAATTTCCACATCAGCTAGACGGTTACTTCGCAAGTCGTACTCAAATCAATAAGATGTTAAAAAAGGCGGGAAACGTTCAAAAAGGTGAGCGCTATTTTCTATACAACGACTACATAGTAAAGTTTATTTATTTAATTTAGTATTTTATAATGTTTAATATATTCTGATAAATTGGTGAGTCTCAATACATTTTTAGTTATTGCAATAAACTGACCTTATGATCCTAGATGCTTGGCTACGTGGGGTTTTTTATTACATTTGTAGCAATTCTATATCATGAACAAAACTGAATTTAATTCTTTGGAACTGTGTATTTAATTCTAAGTAAATAACTGTAAATAACTCTAAGTATTTATATTTCTTTGGACACATGTGACTACGGAATTACGTGAAACAAAGTCAAATAATTTAATTATATTGTTATGAGGACTATAATGTCCGATTGAAAATAATAAATAAATAACATTTCTGCTGCTCTTAATAGACGAAAATAAAATAAGTATAATATATTTATTATCCGGTACCAAATTAAACAAGATTAATATTTATATAATTAAATCTATACTTGTATTATAAAGAGATAAAGCTCCTAAATCTATTTGTTTGTAGGGGGTAATCTTTGAAAAATTATTTCACCTACGGGATACTACATCACTAAATTGTAGAATTAAAATTTGTTTCAATTAGTTTTCATCACTCGGGCTTTAAATAACGGTGGGCTTTCTGTGACACTTCCATGTCTTTCAATTCCAGTAGAAACCGGGTGAGTTCATGATAACTATGAAAGAAGCCATATTGTCGGTTAATAATGGATCAAAAACTGTTCTATTGATATTTCCTTAAAAACAACTGTAAATTATATTACAAATTGATTGTGTATAATATATATTATACAGGAAAAAATGTTATGCATGCACTTTTTTCGTATGGATTAATTATTAAAGCTTACAGTTAAGCTCATTAACGCCCACCGATCCACACTAGGCCCGCATGGTGGACAGGCCGATGATGATAATGACTAATCATTCTCGCAATAATGCCTTAAAGCATTGATTTATTCATCTTAGTATTTAAAAAATGAAAAATAATATTTTCCCCACTATAGCTGCTGCAATCATAACTTATCAAAATTTAATCAAAGTTTCTTAAATTTAATTAGTTTGGTATTGAAAACGAATATATTAAATTATTATGCCCATTGACTAAATAAATATTAATTTAATACGTATCCAACTTTTTTTATCGATACATAAGTCAACTAAAACGTACCTCATAAATTTCAAATTGAGAACACTTTAATAAAAAAAATAATGACGAAAATAGTTTTTATAATAATGTTCCGTAACACAGCACTGCACTTTCGAACGCGCGGAAACTTTCACGGGGGCGTGGAACGCGTGTTCCGACCCCGGAACCTCGCGACAGAGTGATCGAATTCACCCGCCTTAGGGGTGGGCCAATGTTTCGTGTGATATTGGAACAAATACGCAACGTTGCAAGTTGTTGGACGGCGCGGTGAGAAATAAGCCGTTTATATTAAACCTAAATTTAGTTCGGGTTAATAGGAGAATTTCTCCAGCACCAGCGCCAGCACTAGAGTAGTAGACAGTTTTTTATAAACGTTAAACGTCATTAAAGAGTACCTAAAGTACCACTAGTCATTTTATATTTAATATCATTTCTATATATTTGGTGTTAGAAGAAAGATAATCGTGGATTTTCAAAAGACAAAGTGTTCGAGAAAGTTTGCACAAAAGGAATATGCTAGTACTGAAATCTTACCTTACATAATAATCAAAAAAAATATCTGACATATGGAGCTTTTAATACAAATAAGTTTTATCGTTAAGAAAACGCTATATTTATTTAATACGGACTGGAAATTGACCAAATAAATGAAAAAAGTTTACTATTGTACTCGGGCGGACGGTAATATCCTTATCAAATGTTGGCCCAACATTGTTGGAGTTATTGGTGTAAACATCAGCCCGCTCCTGTCACTCCCTCGAGCGTGTTCGGCCCGTCACGCCGCCGCGGCCAGGTACGTGAAGGCTATTGTTTCGCGTGACGTCACTACTGTCACGCAATATCGTGCGCTTTAACACTTTCGTTGCTTACCGTGTTTTTTAGTGTATTTAATCATTCATAGTTTTTTAACGCATGTACAATTGCCGTAAGATATCTTTTTATAGACGATGATACCCAGGTTGTCTTAGTATTAGAATATCTAGTAGAGTTTGTAGATATTTTAATATAAACAGAAAATTCAAACACTAACAATTAAAGGTAGACATTATTTTATACTAAAAGTGATCATACTGTTTTAACTTCAAATCAACTTTCTCACTCCTGTGCAACACTAATAGCTAATTAAGTCATTTAGTCATCAAAAATAATATAATAACAATAAATTTATTCCCAAAAAGATCAGAAGTAATAAATTTTACCAGCCTTCCGCCAGCGATTTTACTCGCCCGGTCCTGTATTGTACATACAAACTCTCTTCTTGAATCACTCTGTATATTAATGAAAACAACATTAAAATCCTTTGTGTATTTCACAAGATCTCAGCGTACAGACAGCGGGAAGCGACTTTGTCTTATATGTTTCGTATAGATATATATATATAATAATAATAATTCATGTAAATATTCTCATACCATATTTTCCAAATTAGATTTATTAAAAAAAACGGGCAAGTGCGAGTTGGACTCACGCACAAAGGGTTCCGTACCATTATTCATAAAAATGTAAAAAAAATCGCGTTTGTTGCTTTCTACGGAGTTGTTCAAAATTTTCGAGTTAAATACAATTGATCGACTATTACTCGTAAACTTGTAAAGCCAACTTAAATGTAACATTTAGTTAGTGGAGGGGGGGGGTCACTTGACTCTAACTTACTAAATCGAAAAACGGCCTTTCTACACCCCGTAATGTTTTTGAAAGACCTATCCAATATAACTATTGAGAAGTCGAAAAAAAAATTATCATCCCCGCTTTACATGTAGGGGAAGTACCCCAAAAAATTTTTTTATAATTTTACTTTACCACGTTGTCGGGGTAATAAACGTGTATACTCAAGCCAAATTACAACTTTCTAGTACCATTATCATTGAGTTAAGAGGGGTTGAACGGAAACTATAAGGGTTCCTTGTCTACTACGGATCCCGGATCCCTAAAAAGAGATTATTGCCCAATATAAATTTAAATCACTTAATTCAATAAATTTCAATAAATCAATAAATTTCTGTTTTAATGTTTGATCTCCATACTGAAAGTTCTTTACAGCATTTCATTATTATTTTTATTTAAGATGCTGGATAAAAAAATATTCAAGGTAAAACGTTTTGTTTAAATGAATTTAATTTTCCAACACTAGTGAGTAAATAGAATAATGAAAAGAAGAAACAATTATTTGAATAAAATGATAGAAAAACGTACCTAATTGCGAGCCCCCCTCGTGATGTTAGTTTCGCTTTTATTACAAAAAAGGGTCGATATGCAATCTATTTTAATAGTCTAAGTAACTTTTTTAAATCAAGATCATCTATTAAGCCTTATCTGTTACAAGCACTTGTAACCGGAACTCTATGCCACCGGCCAATATTATATCAATTACTGACTTTTACTTTATTTATAATTTAACAATAATATTCGCAACATTTCAATAATATTCACGTTCAAGCAAATAACTTTATTTAACATAGTTAAAACAATATTCTAGTGGATTCCCGAGTTACCGCGTAAACGCTATAAACCAAGACAATTGTTTATCATTATCCACTCTCTCGCGGAAGCTCTGTCTATGGATTAGGGATGCCACCTCTTATAGTACACTTAACTGTCTCTTGAAATCCACGAAACGAGCACCTCGGAATTGGAAACTAAATTTTCTGTTCACAGAGAGCATAGAGACTTTCAATCAAGTAAAACCTACTTCAAAAAGTAATAAAGGTTTTTTTTACTGAAGTTTTATGCTGTGCATATACAGCGCTGTGCACGACGATTGACTGTTTTATACGAGGTGTTTTTTTAACAGACAAGCATACCTGGTCGCACCAATTTAAAAAACTTAATAATGTCTAGATTGTTTGGTATAAACCGTTAGATCCATTCGTAAATTTCACCTTATAAACTAATAGGAAATCAATTTTAGGATCCATTTTTTTAGGTAGAGTGTGTACTGAACCTTTATACTCGTACAATAATTTGCCAAATATCTTATGTTAATATCTGCTCAAATCGTATAATATACTTAAATATGAAATACCTTCGTGTATTTATAATATTTTTCTAATCATTGTTTCGTAGCTATAAAACATATTCCATGTTATGATGAAACTAAGATAACATGTGATTTAAATCACTGACACATAAATGAAAAACAAAACAAAACAATTTAACGTAATGCAACTAACATCTACCTTAAAATGAATAAGTAATAAAAATATTTTCTGACAACCATACCTCGGTTAGTATTATCTTAATTGAAACGAAACCCCTACTCATTATACCAACAAAGATACAACACACAAGCAGACCCTTAATAAATAATACACAGTTCTATTTTGCACTCTATGTTATTAGATTAAAGTCGAACTGTGAATCTATTGGCATAGGCTGTATGACGCGTGAACGTCCATCCGAATGTTTAATTAAGTTCGCTCTTTGAAGCTACAATTTAACGTGTAAAAAGATAAGGTTGTTTTCTATTATTAAGTACCCAGACTAAAGTATACAAGGTAACATAAAAAAGCTATTAAAAATGCGGTGAAAAATGATATACTCTTTTGAAGTCAAATAATTATGTATATACTAAATCTAAAAAAGTAATTATAAATAATCAAGGCACATCCGTTTGGCATGATAATATTTCAAGTGGTTTTCGTATTACTGCCTGATCTTTTAAAATTAAAACGCATTTAAGAAGCAAATGCAACGTGAAAGCAATTAAGATTTCAAAATGTTTTAACATGTACGACTCTTCGCGGCAGGCGAAGGGATGTATGATCATGGAGCCATTTTATAACTTCTTGTTAGAAAACGCACACCTAATCAAATTTTTTTAAATTTTTCTATAACAATTATCTGAGTATTCATTATTAGGTCTTAGAGCGATGAAACAGGCACTAAAATATTTCGTCCCTCACTGGTAGCAATTCTATAGATTAAACATAATGCTGTTAAACTGCGTTTTAGTTGCAGAAATAAATTAAATTAAAATAAATTAAACAACTTTTAAAAGGTTTCCGAAACCGTTTAAGAGTTGTTTCATTTATGGATAGTGCGCGTGAAAATATAAGAAATCAGTAAAATTTCTTTATTTGCATATACAAAATTAAACTTGCAAAAGATAAACTAAATTTCTTTAATTACAACAAATATGACTATAGAATAATGTTAAAACAAACCCAAATTAATTTTATTTAAATTTTTAATGTTTTTAACGTTTATATGTTAAATTAATTTTTAATGTTTATAGAGTGTGGTACAGCAAAATTGGCACCATTATATACCATTTTTGTTAAACTAACTTTTCTTTGTGATAAACTAAAATTATATTATTATAGAAGTTTTAGCAAATTTCTAGGGAAAGTTCTAATAAAGCCTCTTCACAGTGCATGGAATTCTGAACTTTGCTATTTATCAACATCGCCTACCCGGTACGCTAAGGTCGGTTCAGATCTAAACCCATTTATCTGACGCATCCGAGTCATATCTCACGACTCTTAAGTCTTTAGAAAAACTTCCAACTTTTGTGATATCGCCCCCAAAAATCGTTCCACATGTTCCACCTTTCGGACTCCAATCTATTACATTTATTCGCTTTATTGTGCAAGTTTATATCTTCCATTTGACATACAACTGTATTTTGACGCGTCAATAGTTCCACGAATGACACGTACAATACAATACGAAGAGATCATTTTGCTTCACTGAAAATCCTTGAGAACACACAATACTATAACGATTATAGTAGATAAATCCATTAATTAATGATAAAATTACCTTTTTAATTTGAAAATATACGATGATTGTCATTACTATCGAGTGATAATCTTAAACCAGCTATACATGTTATAGATAGTGAAAATATTTCAATAAAATTAAAAGAGTATCGTATTGAAAGATTTTTAAACTCACGCTAACTTCGAGTTCACACTTGTCGGATTTCCATTCAAGGTACCACAAAAGATGCATAGAAAGGTCGAGGGCTCTAGACTTCATTTTGAAGATCGACTAAGCCATTCAGTGTAATGTCGATAAGAGCTTTTCATGGGAGGTGAAGTGTACGCGCGTATCGACGCGCATTCAATAGAGATCGTTGCTGTTTTATATATTGCTAGGATTTAAAAATATATCAAGCAATTGATCGATGTTCGTTCTCGAACTAATTCTGTTAATGTTTTGCGGGTAGAGTTCAAATTCGACTGGAGAAATTTGACATATTGCGATAGCCTGACGTACAGCCGTGTGTATCTATTTATTGGAGAACATTAAACGTGTAATAATAACAGTGATAAACCAATAACACTAGAAAGCAGTTATCTGCATAATAAAAAAAAACGTCTTCGTTACACCCTCCTAAATACAACAGGAAAGTTCTAGTCAGTTTACTTACACATACATTAACTTATCCTAAATTGGTTTATCAACTTGACTTAACATGCCTCATACCTCACACATTCCGTAAGTCATCAAGCAAAGATCGAAAACTATGTTAGAACTTTATGTGATCTATTCGGCTCGTATCCAAACCCGTTACCGGAATTTCTTCTTCAAATTCCATTTTGCAAATCAAGTTAATCATTTAGAAGCCATTGTACAAAGTATACCTAAGCATAATTCTCCACGAGGTTCAAAAGTTTTATACTTAAATGGGTTCTGTCACTTGTATATTGTATCAAATTAGTATGATTTCTTAACATAGGTATCATAACAATGAGTTTGTTCGAATCTATATTATTATTTTTCTTTGCGAAATTCGATTGAATCACATAGCCCTAGAAATGACGATCGTTACTTATCATATAGTAACTTCAAAATGTTAAAAGAATATTTTAAAATCAGTCTCGTATACTTGATACTTGGTGAGTATATCCATTCAGACGCGGCACTCACAAGATTAGCTTCGCCGTTTAATCTCCGCGATACAATCTGCTTACTGTACCTTTGAAATCTTTGTGAGTTTATTCTTGTAGTTGATTTTGAAGTAATAACTGCAAAGTATCTCATACATAGTCTCCCCATAAAGCGTGTTCTATCAAAGCAAGAAGTAGAAAATAATGAAATCGATGTCACTGAATAATAAAACAGTTCATACGTTTGCGGGTCGAGTGATGACGTGTACACATTCTTATTGGCTACAAGTGCGTTACCAGCACAATTACAAAGGCTATCCAATTATACACCATATGGTGTTTTCGTGCTATTTATGGTACGTACGCAAACCTATTACTAAGTTCAATTCAAGGCACAATTGTACCGTGGAAACACCTTAGCTGCGCATAGCAACAAGTTAGGTTATTTTTAAAACACGGAAAATTTTAGTTAATCTTTTAAAAAAATGTCTGTTCAAAGGTGGTGTAGTCCAAATAATAAAATAGTGGTCTCACTTATTTTCTTTTCCAATTTTAAGAGCACGTTTTCTTTTTTTCTTTCCTGAACAAATAGTCATAAATAATTTTCTCATTTCGGTGTAATGGATTAAAAAATAAACCAAGTAGATCTGTCTATTTTCAAATAATACCTCCACGGATGTTTAAGGTTCTTTAAACAAATATTTTAATTGGTTTATTTCATAGTATGTCACCACATTCCCATCAAAACAACAAAAGTATAAGGTAGAGTCAAGTTTGTATTTATTTATCTATTCGGTCAATAAAGAATAAACTTTTTAAGTGAACCTAAACATGGTAAAAGGGGAGTCTTTTGTAGTTAGAAAGGGCTTCCGTTCAGGCAAATTGGTTTTAATTTTAACTCGAAGTAACGCACGCTCATCAATAACATAGTATTGTCGATCTGGATTCCCTTCCTTGTCATGAATATATTGACTGTTCAGGCAGATGTTTAGTTCCCCGGGGACACTGCCGAGCGCGTCAGCTGACAGCATAAAAACTTCCATCGACACAACTCCTTTAGGTTTATGCACTCCTGGTACTTGAAGACAAACAAAAAGAAATTGGATACGAAATCTCGGAAAGCTTTTTAATATAACAGGTGGATGGAAAAGGGACCTTTCTATTTAAAGATACATTACGGAGATAGAATCCCATTCTATTCTCAGGTAGTTTCATTGGTATCATTTTTCATTAATTCTTTTCATTTTATAGACAAAATCGGTGTGCTCTATAATCTGTTAAGAATTATTATATAAAATGGCTAAAAGAGACCTGAGTAGTATTAATAATAACGACACTAAACCGGTTCATTACTCAATCAATACCAATGTGTTCTCTATTTTATAACTGGCGTTTACCTGCAACTACACCTGCGTGTAATTCAGAGATCTTCATTTATATTTTAAAGTATATTATAAATAAATGTAACATAAACAGCCTAGTTTAACAAACGTCCATTAAAGTTGATTGACGACTTCAAATGAATGACTTTAATTAATGTTCTTAATTTGAAAATTTGTATTAACTAAAGACAATGTTTATGAAACGGGTGTTCAGTTGGATGAACGTCCATTGAATTAGTCTTCTATACAAGTGCAGCCATTAGTCGACTAGAAACGCGAGTCGCCATATATGTGGTTAACGGTCAGTTACAAACACACCCATTAAAGGTTTAATGACGACTTCAAGCTCTAATGAATGTTCTAAATTTAAAAATAGGAATGGGTAATGGGAGATTAAACTAATAACAAATTTAATTGACGTTTGTGCAACTGGCTGTTGGCGTTTTCAGCTATATCTAAAGAGCGTGCGTCTAAACGCAGTGCAATCTCAACCTTATAGTCTTATAATGACATAATAAACATTTGTTTGTCTATTTGCATTGAATAGGCTCCGAAACTATGGAAATGATTTTAAAAATCTTTCACCAACGGAAAGCAACCGGCTGATATTAAATATAAATATAACTTTCATCTCGTTTGGTCGTTGTTCTGCGTTTATTATGTAAACAAAAGTTAATCGTGTTAACCGGATATTCACGATACATGCACTACCACAAGCGACTACGTTCTTGAGATATAGCGTATAAATATTGCAAGGCGCCACCGCGAAACTCGTGAGCGCCGCCACACCTGCATTGCATACTTTAACAGGTTCCGCTGGAAATTCGTGAATAGAACCTTTTCAGACGCGACGTCTTTAGACCTCAGAGCACAATAACTGGCTTACGCCTCTATAAGAACGACATAGATTATAAAAAAAATATAGTTAATATTAAACGTTGATATTTTTTTCCAAATATAAAGACTTTATTCTACTTTAACATTATCGTGGTTTAAGAATTAAATTGGTTGACTGTAAGTAAAAGTTAGTATTGAATGCAGAGTTCAAAATCAATTGCGGTAATATCGCATTCTGGTAGAGTTGCCAGCTATCCTATTTTATAAGGATTTCTTTGTGTTTTTATTGTGTGCTGGGAAGTCCTGCATATTTATAAAGATACGCCTTAAGATTTTAAAGGGCTTTTCAGACCTTTTTATTTTAAAATTAATCTACCGCGTTTTCAAAGCTTTTTTTGAAGAATAAATGACTACAGCCCATACGTCCATTAAATTTGTCATTCGTTTCATGCCACATTATTACCGATAAGTACATTTTTTAAAATTTAGTAGACGACTTTAAGCTTTAATTACTTAAAGTTGTCATAAAACCTTAATGGAGTCCTAGTTATTAAAATCCTATATCCACCTATCTGTGATGGATATGGTGATGTGCTGATGTGTGTATATACATGCGTGTCTTATGTTTATATCACTTATATGTATAATGTTTGCATACGAATAACGAATACACATCAGAAACATTAATTAAATAATACGTGGTATAAGTTCCTACTAATTACCTAGTGTGTTTGTTTATACTTCTATCAATTTCCAACAAACAAAGGTTTCATATTTGTCATTTAAGTAATATGATTATATTGTCTTTGAATACACCATTCAAATGTTCTCGATGTGTTAAGAAAATATGAATAAATGAACCAAATATACCGATATAACCAAACCTTCCTCGTAAATTAATTCAACGTAAAAAGTTTTCACTTTGGCTATCAACGTTTTGGCTTTTGAATCTTTTTACAACTCAATATTTTTTTAAAGACCTAGTTTCTTTATTATTATTCTTATATAAAATATCCCAAATGGTGGAGGCTTATATTCAGCAGTGGTCATCGTAAGACTGAGATGAAGATAACAAGACAGTAACAACAACAGTAGTCTATGTATACTTTAATCCAATTCAAACTTTTAAAATAAATAGATCGGTGTGCGAGCCACTCAACCACATAAATCGTCGAATATATTTATGATAAAAAAAGACAAAAGTTAATTTTCAATATCCCTTTTGGATAATGCAGATACATTCACTCTAATGTAAACTGCATAGACAATACATGAAGTCGTGGGTCATGAAACATTCAGACGATAAAAACCACCACGAACACGTCTTATCTAAAGTTCTCTCGTAAGAGATGCTCTATTTTTAGATTCTGATGTAAACATAAACTTTACTTTCGAATTGCAAATAATCTACAGAGTGTTTAATCGATACTCTTATAATTTAAGTACTCGTAATATAAATTTATACACAGATTGTTAAGAAAATACAATGACATTAAACTGAAGAAATAGATGCCGTTTTTTATCCTTATAGTAATCGTAATTTTTCTATATAAAATAAAACTAATTTTGGTGACGATGTTACTTAATCTGGCCATAAATACCGTTAGAATTAAAAATAAACAAAATATTACATTTGAGTTTCGAATCTGTCATTTTTATATGATTGTTCATTGTCTTTATATTTTCGCGCCAATACATTTTCAAAACCAACTATGCTCTTAGTATTAGTCAAATTTTTTTATTCGAAAACTTCTCTATTGTTCGTACGAAAAAGGCCACCAAAGCAATAAGGGAAATAATTCGAAGAAATCCTATCCGAAAGCAAAAATTTTGTCGTGTGTGTCGCATGTCGCGTGTTTTAAAAGATGACTTACGACTTGCAGCAGCACTGGTCGAGACAAGAGTGGTAAGTGTAAGTTTTACGCTAACGCGTTCACTAGTGAGCGCGTTAAGAAGTTGTATGGAGATTTGTAGTTCTTGGTAGTTACCGCTAGGGGCGCTGTACCGGATTCCATACAAAAATGTTAACGCGCTCACGATCGACAGTGAACGTAAACGTCAAAAAAACTTACACTAAGCGCTAAGATGTGCACTTCGTAACAGATCATTTAAAAAAGAATAGGGTGTTCAAATCAAAACAACTAATTAAGCAGTACCCAAAGGGAGATCACAGAAAAATGTTGTTCTCGTATGAGATAATTTTTTACAATATTTAACAATATTAACAAGCAATATTTAACAAACAAAATGAACATATTTATACTCGAACCTCTAAAGAAGCTTCACGATTAGTCAACAGTACAACGTGGGCATTATCCAACTTCAGTAATGGTTTGGTGGCGTGTTAGTTATGACGGAGTGATCGAGCCATATATTTGTGAAAAAGGCATCAAAAAATCGGGCACAAGTATATCATGATACTATTCTCGAGAAGGTAGCTAAGCCCCTTAACAACAACATTTACAATAACCATGAATGGTCCCTTAAGCAAGACTCGGCGCCAGGTCATAAAACACGATCCACCTAATCTTGGTTAAAAACGAACGTTCCGGACTTCATCAGAGCTCAAAAATGGCCGTCATCTAGTCCAGATATTATGATTTATGGTCAGATTTAGACAGTAAGGCTTGCTCAAAACGCCATGATAATTTGGAGTTCCTGAAACAATTCATACGTTTGGCAGTTATGAATTCTCTCATGGAAAGAGTGCACGGATCTCTGGACCTGAAAAGCATTAGGTCGGATGTGCAGAACCAGCTAAAATCACTTATCGCCATAACGTTGCTACACTCTTTTTTCTCTTTCCGGCAAATTAACTCTTGTATGTTTGTGCCTTTTTACTCATGAGCAACAGTCATGCATAAAGTCGGATCAGACGACTTTTTCAAATATTTTGATTGCATTTAGCTATTTCTGTTTTTATACAGTTTTTATACATCCGACCTAATGCTTTTCAGGTCCAGATCTATTGATAACTGACCTCAATGTTTGAAGGACTGTATTGCAGCCAATGGAGACTACTTCGAACAAGCTATATATATTTTAATGGCTTTATAATTAATATATGAAACTAACATACTGTAATAGTAATAAATGTTACGTTAAATAAAAATAAAAAAATTCTATGTAACAATATTTAGGGCAAGACTATGTATATATTCTCAGTTGGTGATACAAAATGAGCAGGATATAGTAACAGTGTAATATTTAAAACAAATTAATAGATTTAAAGAACAAGAGAGACAAAAGGAAAACAAGCACAAACACTGTTGAAAAAATAAACCGTATACAAAATATGGAAGTCAGTCTAAACTTTGCTATTATGTTTCTTTAACAAATAAATTATTATAATTAATATGTTATCAGCGTCCTCTCAATGTTAATATGCGTAAGTTTGTGAGTCTGCTCAACTACGCACAGGAGACACCATTACTCTGTGTTTACGATTATAAGCTGGTGATGAAGGTCTTGAATTAAAGAACATTGTTTAGCAGTTGTCAGACTTGTACACCTTGGGAATATAAGTTGTACTAGCATATAGTATTTGATTGGGAATATTCAATCCAACAATATTCAGACCAACCTTATAGGTTGGTCGCAGCAAACAAAAGGGACTTTTTTCAACAGCATCCTTTAATTACTTACGAGTATAGAAATATCAATTATTTCACGAATCGTATAAAATTTCCAGCTCTTTAATGACTCCTTCAGAGCGCCTAGGCAAATGGTACACTCCAGTATAGATACTATTGCGAGATTACTCTAGTAAAACTGTTTCTTATATTCATTGGCGTCACTTGACGGTGAAATTTCACTCAATATTTTGAGGTAATCAATACCACTTTGTAAATGTCATTTCCACTTTTACAAAGTGGTTATTATATTGGCTATTAAACATAATATTTAAAATTATCAAGGGAAAAAAGATTCAACTTAAAAAAATATAAATGATACGTTTTTGCTTAAGTCTGCTAGCAAATAATATTTTTCACAATTACACGAAGCTATCTATGCTCAATGATAGGTATAAGGTATTACTCGTACAGTAATTTTAACACTAACTTCAGCTAACTTGGTATCACTTAGCTGTCAACTGAGGCGTGAGCATCTGAACTAAGTGGAGTGACCTAAAAGCAGCCGACAGGTCTCAGTTGTCTTTTCAGAGTCGCGTCTGTGACTGAAATAGACACCGTCTAGCAAACAACAAAGTTGGTAGCTTGTTTAGTGAATCACACTTTACGTATCCGTGAAATTGAGATTTTTTAAATATAATTAAAACGCTATTTATAGTAATAAGTGAGTAATCTTGCTAATATGATTACAATGTAATCCAATATAGGCATACATTAGTTTTTCATTATATAATGATGATGTTTACAATTTTACCGTGACTTTACGTTGTAATTAATAATAAAATCTCTGCGATATAGAAATGGGTAGATTATTAATTAGCATGTGTAATCTAAAGCAGCAATTCTTAAACTTTTTTGGAAATGGACCTCTTTTACAAACCAAATATTTAAAGCCCTTAAAAAAAACTGAACCTATTTTTATTTTTGTTCACAACGTTTTGCCCTAGGACTCCGCGGAACACACGCTGAGAAACTCTGATCTAATGTAATGTTTTTGTTCTATTTCAGCTGAGATAGTAGGCGGAATGAAGTCGTGGGGCGAGTCAATAGGGCGTGGCGCGTCAGCACATTTCTCGCGCGTCGGTCGTCTGCGGCGCGCCTTGGTGGTACTGGCTGCAGCCGCGTGCACCGCTGCCGCGCTGCTGTACTGGCGACAGCAGAGCAACGACCTGACTCACCGACCCATGCACAACATTTACGCGTGAGTGTACCACGTATGATTTTACTTAGTTTGCCGTAGGAGCTGTAAAACTCAGTTGGTCAGTAGAGCAACAATTTTATTCATTGCTTGCCCACACGACTGTAACCTGATTCACATTTCTCTAATCAGTTCATCATACCAAGTTGAGGGGCCCTATTTACTAGGTTCTAAAACAGTGGACCAGTCTACCAATAATATATTTTTCTTTTTTTTTTCAGCGCTACGGACCCACAATGGACCTGGATTTGCCGGAACGAACGATGCGAGCGACTACAAGCATCAGAATCGTCAACGCTGCAGTCACTCCAGACTTGTAACATGCTCTGCGCATCCACTCAGCTGTGGCCTCAGCCAACGGGGCCTGTGAGCCTGGCTACAGCCGTCACTCCAGTCAAATCTGACTCTTTCTACCTGAAAATCGTCAAATCTCCATCAAGTGAAGTCACCCAAAATCTAAATGATGCCTTCGCGCTCATGCGTGAAGACATGCGGTCTTTAGAAAAGAGTAGCAATAGTGAAATTCGACGTACCGACATCGGTAACCCGCGCACAGTTCATGTTCGCGTCACGGTCAACGGCACGGGTGATTCTCGCATGCGCCTTAATACTGACGAGAGTTACAAACTTACGCTTCGGCCCTTCGGAAATTCATTAGTAGTGGAGATCACTGCTCAATCATTTTGCGGCGCCCGGCACGGTTTCGAAACACTATCTCAACTCGTGTGGCTCGATCCCTATGCGAACTCACTGTTGATTCTCGAAGCGGCCACCGTAGAGGACGCACCTCGCTTTAGTTATAGAGGCCTATTGCTCGACACGGCGCGAAATTATTTCCCGGTTTCCGATTTAATAAGAACTATAGATGCGATGGCCGCCTGCAAACTGAATACGTTTCACTGGCACGTGAGCGATTCACAATCATTCCCGCTAAGATTGAACAGTGTGCCGCAACTGGCCCAGCACGGTGCCTACGGGCCGGGCTCCATTTACACCATGGATGATGTGAAAGCGGTGGTGCACCATGCGAGGCTTCGTGGTATTCGCGTGCTGTTGGAAGTAGATGCTCCCGCACACGTCGGTCGCGCCTGGAGCTGGGGTCCCGCGGCCGGCCTCGGCCACCTCGCCTACTGCATAGAAGTAGAACCCTGGAGCGCTTTCTGCGGAGAACCGCCCTGCGGTCAGTTGAACCCGCGCAACCCGCACGTGTACGATCTCCTCGAACGCATCTACGCTGAGATTATTCAGGTCACCGGGGTGGACGACTTGTTCCACCTCGGGGGCGACGAGGTGTCCGAGCGCTGCTGGTCGCAACACTTCAACGACACCGACCCCATGGAGCTGTGGCTCGAATTCACGCGACGCGCCATGGTCGCCCTCGAGCGAGCCAACGGCGGGAAAGCCCCGGAGCTGACGCTGCTGTGGTCGTCGCGACTGACTCGGTCGCCCTACCTCGAACAATTAGATTCGAAATATTTCGGAGTGCAAGTCTGGGGTGCGTCGCGGTGGCCGGAGTCGCGAGCCGTACTAGACGCGGGCTACCGGTCGGTGATCTCGCACGTGGACGCGTGGTATCTCGACTGCGGGTTCGGCTCGTGGCGGGACAGCAGCGACGGACACTGCGGGCCGTACCGGTCGTGGCAGCAGGTCTACGAGCACAGGCCGTGGACGGAGGAGGGAGCGTCGGGGGAGGGGCTGGCGTGGCGGATCGACGGCGGCGCCGCGTGCCAGTGGACCGAGCAGTTGGGCCCGGGCGGGCTGGACGCGCGCGTGTGGCCGCGCACGGCCGCGCTGGCCGAGCGGCTGTGGTCGGACCGCGCGGAGGGCGCCACGGCTGACGTGTACTTGAGACTGAACACTCAACGGTCTAGACTGGTGGAGCGGGGCGTGAGGGCGGCGCCCCTGTGGCCGCGCTGGTGCTCCCACAACCCGCACGCGTGCCTCTAGCGGTTCGAGCCCGCGACGCTCCTCCCTGAAGTTGACGCTCATGTCCGACCCCCGAGCGCTCTAGGTGCGATCCGAGGCTGATCGAACAGTCACAGCTTCCGCGCTGTGAAGAGATCGATCAGATTCGTTAATAGTTTGCTCTTCGTTAAAGTGATTGCGCATGTTCTTTTGTTACATACTAAGAGTTGGTCGGTAATGTAAGAGTAGATAGAAATTTGTACAGACCTTTTAGTTTTACTTAGCTATATTTATATCTCTGTCGAAATCCGATTTACTCTTTGACAATTAATGTGATGTCATAAACTGTATACTTACTTCTGAAGTTTTGTGAACATATTTAAGCTTAAATCTTATACTAGGTAGCGACAAACCACTCGACTCTTATGAGATTAGGTTAATACTGAATAGTTTAAAAATTACATATGAAGTAAATAGCCAAGCTTATGAAAAACCGAAAGACAAAACTCAATAGCAAGAATCGAGTGTTGTGAACTCATTAACTATAGTGATCATAGAACAATAGTACAGAGACGTAGTTATAGGAAAAAAACTAAACGCACTAGTTACCGTCTTACGAAGTAGCTGACGTACATTCAATTATACGATAGACATTTCATGTATTGGATACAGTTTTCACTATGTGATTAAACGTTTACGGTTCGACAGAGCACTAACAGCCGCGCTATAAAACGACACCACTTTTTAACTATATAAAAAAAGCGAAATTGTCCTTTCCGGGCATTCGAGCCATTGTAAATATAAAATATTAATAAGTAGTGATGACGGGTAACCGCATAGCGAAAATCAATCTTACAATACAAAAAAACAATTGTATACTCGATAATTTTTAATAACTAGATTAATAGATAGAAGTCCATGCATCCGCAAGAAATGGCAAATCCAGTTTATAAAGTCTTTGGTGGACAGACTTAAGGGGGGTCAAAACTCTTGACCATTGACTCAAGACCCCCATGACCTCCCTGGATCTGCCCTACCGCAAACACCTAAGACATGCAAGCATCACTAATGTATTACGTTTGAAACAAATGTTATACTGCCATTAATATCACAATTTTGTGTAGATATGGGTTTAATGATTAGTAAATACTAATAGTTAGGTAATTAAATAACCATTTGTTAAATTATTGTTATATAAATTTATTTATTATAACTATAATGGGTCTGAGCCAAATTAAATATGCATTTCTCATTTGATTCTAGTGACAATAGATTCTCATAAAGGTGTGTTCACATAGTTGCTGTTTTGCTATGAATAAAAACAACACAGATTGTGCTGGAAAATGATATATCATCATTATGATCATGATTTCAGCCTAGAGACACCTACTGTAGAACTTTGATTGATTGAGTATTTAGTTGTATTATTCTAGAAAAACATTAAACTAAAGTAGTTAGGCAAACATTTTACTCATGAATTACAATATAGATCTTTATTGTTATCAATATAATATTTGCAGAAACAAACTTAAAGAAGACTTAATTAAATTGCGTAAAAATTGGCGGAACTATTGCTTACATTTATTTTATGAGGGTATGTAACATACTTATACAATATATGTCGTTAATTATAATATATATTAGCCATTTCTCCTTCTAAGGTTGACTGGCGGAAACTGGCTTAAGAGATGAACTTAATTTATGTGTAAACCATAAAATAAAATTTTAACGTGACGATAAATCTTCTAATGTAAATGCACCCCATATCGTACGTACACATTGAGCTCCTTCTTTGGTACTAACATGTTCCAATGAATTGAAAATATTTTAGCAACTTAATAATGCCAGTCCAAATCTGATAGCGACACAAAAAAACAATTTATTTAAAAAGCACCTAAAACTAAAGACAGAGCTGTAAGTATGTATGTGTAAATACATACAGCTCTTATTACTTTGAGACAACGTATCAACAGTCACGTGAGAAATAATGCCAGTGTAAACGAACCTTACTCTACAATTTCTCACAGGCATGTCAATATACATGTTTTAGTGTCACATTGATTAAATTCTTTAGGTTTGAACTTTAAATTACCATTCCATTTCATTTTAATTTTACATGTAGAAATTAATTTATTCACTTGACATTGGCAGAATTCTGCGAAACACGCAGATAAGCCATTAATAAAAGAAGAAGAAGAACTTAAAATGCTATCAACGGAAACACATCACTGGTTGTATTAGCATCACGTATAATATCGACGCTGGAAAGCAGACACATAGTAACCTACAAAACCAAAATGGATATTTAGAGTCGAAAATCTTTATATTTAAAAAAAATATCTTATTTCCTTATTAATTGACCAAGGAACACCTTATTTCTTATCATGGACGTTTATAGGAATTATTTATCGAAAAAATAAAAGATTTTCTGCTCTGAAGAACAATTTTGGTTCCTACGTGTTTGCTTTCCAGCGTCGATATGTAAAATAATTTGCAACATCACTAAACATAAATATTTATAATTTTATTGCATTTCCCACAGGTTTTTTATGTTGCCCTCTTCAAAAAATATAGTGATCTATCATTTCCAACGATCCTGATGAGGTTTTATCAGCATTCGCACAAATTATTTCTCACGGGTATAAAATCGAGTAAACTTCTTTCTTAATTCTTTTCACTAGTTGATTCCTATACTAGGAGGGTAAAATAAAAATAAAACCGAAGCTAAAGCCCTATCCTAACGATTTAAAATTATACGAAAAATCTTTTCAACAAAAGAAGGTCTTGTGTTGGACATGTTCCAAATATATAGACGCAGAAAATCGTAAATTAGTATTATTTTTTGATTAATATACAGTAACCAATACCAAGAAAATTATTATCATTTATATAACCCGACAAATATGTATAAGTAGAGACATACGGCGGTGGACACGATGCTTTACCCAAATGTACATTTATTTTGGTTCAAACCCTAATATTATTTATTTTAATATATTATATAAGTGAGAGTGATGTGCACTGAAAATCGAAGGTATAGCTGTACAGATTGGATTACCTATAATTAACTATAAGTCAGGTTATTACTAAACACATTTCTCTGAATAATTTGAAGCCTTAATCTGTGGAAAATGGAATTAAAAATTAATGGCATAAAAATTACAATGATACCGTTGCCTGTGCCCATACCAATATTGTGTACCTTTTTATGTTTAAGCAGGGTAATAGTAGAAAATACCGCAAGAGGCGAGGTCAAAGTGCGATTAACCTACCATAAGCAAGTTGCGGATTACCCTCGTGTGGAGGGGATCCAGGGGACCGAAGACCTGGGAGATCGTAAAACTCTTAAGAATTAGTTCAAGTTTTATTTTAAACCGTCATAGATTAGATTGTGCATATCACTACTTACAAAATAGTTAGGCCGCTAAACTAAAAAAAATAATAATTTCCAGCACATTTACAGCATGACATTTAATATATAAATTATTTAGTTCACAATTTGGTAAAAACGCGCACAGTCTTTATTATAGCTATATATAAGCTATATTATATTTTAATTATATGAAGAATGAAAACTACTTTTTACCAAATTATTTTCTTAAATAATATTGCGTAGATCAAATGACTAAATTGTTTTATAAAACTTTAATTATTATATTTATACTTTAATCATAATAACTTATGAGATTTTTTTTCTAGTTATGAATGTTGTTATATCGCCTATCAATGTAATTATGTAAATTTTTATTTAAATCTTGGGTTTTTTATACAAGGGCATATATATTTTGAAATTAATTTATTGATTTGTAAAAAGCTTTTAATATTTATTTGATGTAATCACAAGTACTGTAAGTGTTGTTATAAATTAGATATTTTTGTTGTAAGAATGACTTAATGTTTTATAATGAATTAAACAATTAGTGTGATCAATGAAAAGGCACAATTTTGTACATTTGTATGTAACGTTCCGGTGCTAAAATGATTCTCGTGGTGTACTTCTGTGAAATAAAAAAATAATCATAAGTATTTGAAGACTATCATTTGCGCCATGATCCTATTGAAAAAAGTAAAGTTTTCGTTCTTATTGACATTTCAGCGGCGTAACTCAGACAGCATTACATACTTTATCATATTTTATCACATATCTCGTGATAAGCGGCGTGGAGGTAGAATTGCGCTCAATGTGCTTTTCGTTTGAACTCTCTCGACCTTTGTTTCTTTGCTGTAATGGAAATTTATGGTAGTACTGGTGAACTTGATTTATATGTATTTTAATTTTTAACCTACGATGTAAAAAAGTGGTGTTATAAGTTTGACCCACAGAACACGGAAACCGCTATGGCGCCGTCTCCACGAGCGAGAGAATCGCGGCGAGTTCGCGCTTCTATTGTCGAGTCGAACGAGCAATAGGGATGATGACTGGGTAAAAAAAATGCAATTCTATTTAGTCCGTCAGTCAGATAATAGAAAAATATTAGATACGTATTTTTTTTTACTTCAATTTAACAAGACATAGCTTAGATAACAGGCATTAAAGTTGAGGAGTGGGGGTACGTCACAGTTGAGTAGAAAACGTACCCTAACGTGACGTCATGCGAAATTTCAACTCCATGTAAGGTCGTAATTTTATGATTACGAAAAATATAAAAAAAACGTGTTTAATATTTTTTAACACTACCTGACGGACAAACAAACAAAAATTAGTCATCATCCCTATTATTACACCAGCGTGCCGTCACAACTTGTGACGCAATCACAGCGTGTCCGCAGACTTCGGAATCTTGACGATGGATTGTTATTTTATTTGTTAGATGGTCAGTTGCACAAACTTGCATTAAGGTTTAATGACGCCTTTAAGCTCTAATGAATGTCAAATTAGTATGGGTAATGTCGCTTTAAACTTATGAAAATTTTAATAGACGTTTGTGCAACTGGCTGAGAGTTCAGTAAGATGCCAGACAAGAGCAAAATAAGTAGTCTCTAACAATAAAATAAAGCTTAATGACAGCGCGTTCGCGGCGGGGGCACCTACAATGACTAGGGTACCGCGCCGATACATCACCGTGGAGAGTCGCGTCCATAGAGAATATATAGAAATACGTGGTACGACGATATTATCGCCGCAATTCTCTCGCTCGTGGAGATGGCGCCTGTGTCTGTATGTGGCATTAAAGGTCCTGAATAAACGCGTGAACCGATTCGGATGCAGTTCTTTCTTGTTAGAATGCATTTTTTTTTATTAAAATCATTGACTGGGTATGAGGGTGAAAGTGGGGATGAAGAATCTAATATTGTCAAAAATGCACAAGTGGGGTATCAAATGAAAGGGCAAGACGTGTATCTTAAAATTAGACATGTTTTATCAAAATCGATGATTTTTTCAGTTAGCACACTTTAATAGTGTCCTTTACCTCATCATGTTCACTTATTTTTCTCTCTTATTTAACCTGCTGAGACTGGAGATCAAAAATAAATAAAATATCTATTTCACCTAATCTAATAAAATCATATATTTCTGCTAGAATTCAAAAAGTAGTAATTAATGAAGCGAAATCTGCAAGGGCACCCATTAGTATGGGCGTACCTCAGGGATCGGTATTAGGACCATTGCTTTTTCCAATTTACATTAATGGTCTTCCTCACTTTGCAAAGAATTTGTGCGAGACAGTATTATTTGCAGATGACACCTCTTTAGTATTTAAAGTTGAGAGGGGTAATTATTGTTTTGACGATGTAAATGATGTTATCGACAATGTTCAACAGTGGTTTGATAATAATATTTTAAAGCTCATTAAAATGAAACGAAATGCATAAAGTGTTAGTACACTTATAAACGTAAATAGTGAAAAAGTTGAGTTGGTAGAATCGACATATTACACTAGATTCCCGACTACAATGCGATCCTCATATTGATAACTTGTCAAGTAGACTGGTTGTGCAGCTTTTACTTTTAAGAAAATTAGACCTTTGACAAATATTGAAACGGCAAGATTGGTATATTTTAATTATTTTCATAGTGTAATGACGTATGGTCTAGTATTGTGGAGTTCTGCGGCTAGCATTCAAGATATTTTTATTCTACAAAAGAAAGCTGTCCGCGTAATATATAATTTACGGTCTAGCTAGGGAATATCTCAGAGAAATATTTAAAGAAATACATAAATGTTTTAACTGTTGCCTCTCAAAACATCTATAAAATATTATGTACACAAGAAAACATTACGATTCCTTCACAAAAAAAAGTAGTGTTCATAGTCTTAATACAAAAAATAAAAATAAACTTGCCGTTCCAAGTTTCGGACTTCATAAAACCAGAGGATCATTTCTGGGTAAACGCATTGCTATGTTCAATAAAGTTCCACAAAATGTAATTGACCTACCCATAAATAAATTTAAAATTCATGTAAAGAACATAGTTATGAGCAGAGGTCGGAATTAGGTAGAGTTATTTATGTACTTGCATCGAAATGTTGATATTAATGTGGACCTTGCCGGGATTTCTTTATTTTTTCTTTCTTTATTTCTTTCTTTCATTGATGTGAGTTTGACAATGTCGTGCGTGCCGTAGTTTAAATTGTGTAAAAGTAAATAACTTTTTATTAAAAAAATCACAGGATTTTTTCTGCTCTTTAAAATTAATCTCGGGATTTGAGGCATATCCACTTTATTCTTTCGCTATATGAAATCAATGTAAGTACATGAATAACTCTACCTAATTCCGACCACTGGTTATGAGTAAAGGCTTTTATAAAGTTGATAATTAGTTTAAGGACCACACGCATGGAATTAATAGCCTTCGCTTTGTTCTATATTGTCTAATTATATGTACCAACCTATGTCCTACAGACTTTGAAAGTTTTGTTTATTATTGTTATAATACGTACTGTTTAGGTAATTACATGATTTATGTATATGTCATTACTTATGATAAAGAGCTGGTAAGTTTCTTTCGCTTGTTCTTCTTGTCAGCTAAAAGACGTCCTGAACAAGTGGTATGGGAAGAAAAAAAATATTTAGACCATTCAAAGTGCTTGAAGCAACCTTGTATACTTGAATAAAGACATTTTCATTTCGTTTCGTTTAATTTCATTTCATTATATAAACACGTTGCTATTTATGTATGATGTACGGTCCATGTACAGTAAGTAGGTATCTACTTACTGTACAAGGACGGTTTTACTACAGAAAAATAAAATTCCGATTTTCGTTTTTTTTAATAAAAACATTTTCTAATGAGGAAGTATTTTAAGAATAAAAGGAAGCACTAAAAAGCACCTCACTAGATGGCGACCCTAGCAAAAGTCGATTTTAGCAGGAAACGAATGGACGAAAGATAGTCATATCCGTTCCTTTTAAGCAACATAATATTGAAAAACTGAAATTTTCAAATTTCGGAATTTAGATATCAATACTAAGTTTATTGTAAGTATATTTATCCTAAGTTTTGAAAATTTACTTTTATACATGAAAGAAAACCGGAAGGATTGTCATGGAGAAATCAAGAAAGTACTGTAGCGACATCTAGTTCGATTTCGGAAAATAATTCTTTTTTTTTATTACGTATTCATTACCTATCACCAATGGATTTGACAAACGCTCTCAAGAACGAGTTTTTACGTATACGTACACGTTAAAACGTGAACTCGACAACGCATTCTTATTTATATATTTATTCATATGAGTCAACAATAAGCACACTTAATAAGCTGTGGCAATTCAATGATAAATCCTAATATGGCACTCCATAAATTCCTAACAATTGGGAACTAAACTAAATAAAGGTGGGGATTACTAGCTTGTAATATAAGTAATATTACTATTACATTAAAAATGACAGAAATTATTTTATCTTTGCTGTAGCCTAATTATGAAGAAACACACAAATTTTAATAGACTCCCAAAATATATCGCTATCATATTTTTTTTTTTATATAATTACGCTTAAAGAACACCGTTAATTCGGTGAATATAATTCCGCCTGTTCTGTTGTGGCTTATTTGAATTTGGGTCTTTTTTCGCAAATATTAATTTAGATTACTTATTTAAGTAAATTAATTATATCACAAATAAAACCAAATTTTAAAAAGTTAATAACTTAGTCAACTTTATTAAAGAAATACATTCTTTTGATCACATTAAAATTACTACTTCTTTCTGAAGATGCTGAGTCTTCGGCTGCGTGGGGTACCCTGAGAAAAAATGCGGTGCCTCAGAATTTATTTACCCTATAAACATTTCAAATATAAAGAATAGAGGAGGATAGTGGTCAGCACCTTCGATCTGTGATGCAGAAGTTAAGTAATTTTAGGAAGGACCAGTTAAAGAATGGGTCACCTTAAATTTATCTGGTTTCTCAGTGCTTCGAAATGGACGTTAAATAGTCGGTCTCCCGATGCATCTGCAATCGTTTTCACCCACCAATTCACACTGCATAAAGTCGAATCGAATAGGGAGAATGGAGCATAATAGACAAAAATCTAATGACGTGAAGACTTGCAATCAATTTTCTTAAAAAAATCCTGTCCAAACAAAAACAAAAAATGGTCATGTTAGCCATAACCCAGCTCCTGGGTCCAGTTAGGCCCATTGACGACAATCGGAAATGAGACCAACGGTATAAAGTACTAATAAACTTTCGATCACCAATCCGATTACCGATATTTGCAGAAAATGCTTAATCTCCGCAATCGCTGATCTAACGATTACACGGCGCCATCAAAATTAGTAAACATAATAACTGATTGACAATACAAACAACTTACTTCTGCGGTATAGTTCTTATTGGATCGGAATAGCGAGCGAAGTCGCGAGGGCGTGCTAGTCTTGCGTGATACCTGCGGTTCGGGCTCTGGACGGAGCGACTCACGCAATTCTGAGTCCTGTAATTATCACCATAAAGTTTAGTATAGCATTTAATCCTATACTATATATGTATATATTCCTGCAACATTTTTTCAGTTCTAAAACCTGCCAATTAAGTAATATTTATTGATATCTAATTAATAATATAGTAGTTATAAAGTTATACTATAGTTATAAAATTAATTAATGTTGCAATTCTATAACTTTTAACCTAATGCCAATTAAAACTCATAAAAATGATTTAATAAAATCAATGATATGTCGGTTTTCACTAAACTTAGGAGTCGTCCAAATCAGTCGCCTAAATATTCAAGAATCGCCTAAGGTGAAAATGCGTTTCACCAATGACTAGGAACCACCTAACGACATTAGGCACTGTCTACAGTTATGACATTCAGCTCATTGCGTTAATCATTTGCGTAATAAGACAGGCAACAAAAGTGTCAAATAAAATATGATTACTTGGAATTAAACTAATCTGCTTAGGCGATTCGTAAGTTAAGGGTTTCCTAGTTAAGCTATGCCTTGTTCTAGGTTAGTGAAAACGGGTATTAGTAATATTGCTAGTCACAAATAAGAATATTCTAATGGTAATCTAGGAAATTATAAAAAAAATGTGTGATCATGATCACTGATCATAAATCTCATTTTAATTCTTACCGTAGCAGAAAGTCTGCCGGCTTGCTTGCTAGGCGTTGGTGGTCCTGGCTTCTTGTACGCCGTGATGCCAACCTCTTTCCTCTGATTACGACCACCCAAAGAAACGGCGCCTATACTCTGTGTAAAGTCATAGACAATAATGCTACAATAAATATTTTAGCAAGTCCAGGATAGCGATTGCTGAGCTCTCTCGCTATAACTCTTAGATATAATTATAAATTATTGATTTAATCAATGAATATGTTTATATTATTTTATGTTATTAGCTCGGTGGTGTAGTGGATAAGCGCCGCGGCTCGCGATTTTAGTCGTTAAGCAACTTTCGCAAGGGTCGGTCACGGGATGGGTGACCAAAAAAAAAATTATCTCGAGCTACTCCGTGCTTCGGAAGGCACGTTAAGCCGTTAGTCCCGGCTGCATTTGCAGTCGATAATACCCTCCAATCCGCATTGGGCCAGCGTGGAGGGTCATGGCCCATCCTCCTTAACTATCCATAAGGAAGGCCTAAGCCCCTGCAGTTGGGACGTAATAGGGCTGGTGATGATGATGATGATTTTATGTTATTATGTTATGTAAATGAATATAAGTATGTTATTGTAAATCCGCTTCTGACACTCATATCTATAGATGAGTAGAAGTTATTACTCGCGTATAGGTAATAATTTAAGCAAATATTTTTAAACAAATAGATAAGAATTTGAAAGAGGTATGAACTGTCAATAGTCAGCGAGCAAGCAAACTTTAAGCTTCAAAAAACGAGAGGATTATTACTGGATAAATGCATTGTTATATAAGTTCCACAAAATGTTATTGACCTAAATAAATTAAAAAAAAATACATGTAAAGAACGTACTTATGGTTAAGGGCTCTTATAAGGTAGATGATTATATTTAGGACCATAATGCATGGAACTAATTGCCTTCGTTTTATTCTATTTATTTTTAACATTATTATACGTATTATTATGGTAATGAAATGACTGCTGCAAATGTCGTTACTTCTTAAAAGTTCCTTCCGCTTATTCTTCTTGTCTGTCAAAAGACGTCCCAAACGAGTTGTGGGGAAAAAAAAAAGTTGGACCATTCAAGTGTTTGCAATAGTTTATTTGAAAACATATTTCATTCATTCAGTAATAATATTATTATTACTTTTCACATCTCCCTTCATTAAAATTCTTGTTTACTTATTATAAATATTAAGTTGTTACTTATATTCGACTATAGATACGAGTGTGAGTTACATGTGTCACAGAAGCTGTCCCGTTACAGTAGAGTAGTGTACCTTGATGTCCTCCTCGTCGAGTGCGGGCGCGAACTGCGTCTCCGCCGGGTAGGAGCTCTTGAGGTGCGGCGGGCACAGCGAGTTGCGCCAGCGCAGCTCCGAAAGCCGCGCGGGCGCGGGGGACGCGCGGGACGCGCGGGGGGTGGCCGACAACTCGCGCAGCCAACGGTTGTCGAACACCTCGCCCTCCTCGTCGGACATGTGCAGGCCGCGACCCTCTACCGCCGATCATGAGGGGCAGTGTGTAAACTATGCGTTAGTACGCCACTGAATTTCCGTCCATATTATAAAGAGGGAAGATTTAATTGTCTGTTTCTCTGCTTTGAAAAGGGTCCGTAACTGCTGTGGGCTAATAGGGATGATGTACTGAATAATGTATGACTGGTATGACTGGGTAAAAAAAAATGCAATTCTATTTAGTCTGTCAGACAGATAATAGAAAAATACTAAATACGTATTTTTTTACTTCAATTTAACAAGACATAACTTAGATAACAGGCATTAAAGTTGAGGAGTGGGGGCACGCTACGTCACAGTTGAGTAGAAAACGTACCATAACGTGACGTCATGCGAAATTTCGATTCCGAAACGAAAAAAAATACTTTAATAAAAGTGCTAAGTAAAGCTTAGTCATCCAGGTACTAATCTTTTAAGAACTAAACTTTGACGTATCTAATCATATACGCAATGAAATAAACAACCAGTCGTCCCTGCTAATATCAAGCAAAAGTCTAATTTTATAATACATGGTTTTTTATAACAAAAATACAAAAACTTAATTAAAACTCACTAACTAAGTTGAATTAACTATTAAACTGAGATTATTATCAATGAAAGAAAATTACGTGTCCATAGCGATTTATTAGAAATTATAGAATAAATTAACAAAATATACCATTATTACGAATAATTTTGAAAGTAGCTTCTTAAGAAGCACTTAACGTCCAAAGAATCTTTACTATCCGTCTAATTATTGTGCTGGCCAGATAACCAGTCATTGAGAAAACCCTTTCGAAAACACAAGTACTGTGAAAATGTAAAATTTTGCCTTTTAACCCCCCGGACTCGCATAAATTCACGTTGCCGCACTTAGAATAAATCGTTTTTAGGCACAAGTTCAATCTCGTTAAACTCGCGAGATCAATCTCGCTAAAAAAGGCTGAGATCTCGCGAGAACGAGATTGCATTCCCTAATTCTTCGTTGTTGAGCTTCTTTTCGCAAATTTTGCTGTAAACATTAAAAACGATGTTTCTAGCTTGAAATATCAATGGCTTTTAGGAAATTTCCTAAAAATCGATTTATATTTTCACAAATATTCACAACAATCTACGCTTTGACACGACTATTAATTTACATTGCCATATGACAATCTCGATTGATTCTTTTGTTTTTGTGCCATCAGACTCTGGTACACCTATACATATTTTTACAATTTATTTTGTTAATAAATTTTGGTTTTTCGCTGCCGGGTATTTTTTTACAGTTATATAAAATGAGCATATCCCCTATTATGATAATTATATTCAAAGAAAATACCCATATACTATTTAAATTATGCGCCTAGGTATATTTCGTGTTTACGAATTTAACCGATCAAGAAACCAATGCGTGATCGTCGTTTTAGCCGCTAAAACTCGTCAGTACCTCGACTGTGATGGAAGTGACAACACGCAATATTTCAGTATTAAGAATTGTATAGAGCTGTAATACGCAAAATTACCTTATTTGAATATAGGTACTTAATTTATTCCTTCATAATTTTCAAGGTACTGTGGAATGGATACCAATTTAAAAAAGAAAATCCTATAAGCGTCAGTCCCATGAAATAATATAGAACGTGTACCTGTACTTTTTAACAGAAGTTCATGCTTTTAAAAAGTCTGAAAATGGATATATTATTAAAGTTTAAGAAACACAGTATACTTTTATTTTTAAATTGGCTGTCCTAATCTAAATTTAAGCGAAATGATAAATTATGTAATAACAATTCTATATAGATATCTTTAAAATACATTAGGATTGCCGAAGCCTGACGAATATAGCCGAAGCGCATTATTTAAATAGTATATGTGTAAGATAACTAAAGTTAACAAGAAAGTCTAAAAGATAAGATAGGTTGATAGTGAACAGTTAGCAAGTAGAAATAGAGTGTACAATCACCTCGCTTATTGGTGCTATCGTGTATGGGCAATGATCGCAACGAGTGTCCGCCGGAGATACGAGACGATTCCTCTTTTGGTGGCACCAGCCCCGACTGAAATTCAGTAAAAAAAAGTTTAAACAATTTATCAATTCAGTAGATACGTTAGGACGTACGGATCTTAATAACTACGTGTTGAACGCATTAAAGATTTTTAGATAATCTACTAATTATATGTTAGTATGTGGTGTTAAAATTGAGTATCATATGTATATATATCAATATTATAAAGAAGAAAGATTTGATTGTTGGCTTCGAAACTGCTGGACCGATTTCAAACTTTCAGCTACGTTAATTTACATCATACTCGGATGACTTAAACTATAATTTACGTGGGCGAAGCCGCGGGAAATAGCTATACTTTTGAGTTAAGTGGTTCTGGCTCAGTAGACAGACCAAACTCTGCCTTTTTCCCGTAAAAAAATATAACTTATAATAAAATGCCTTCAACTATGACACCAGTGATCGAACGATACAAAATTAAACAGGATTGATAAAAAAATGCATAAAAACAAAGTTACCATTACTATACAATACATACTGAATGCACATGCTGCAACGACATGAGCGATCCGGAACGTTGCTTCTTCCTCTCCCACTCGAGCTCGTCTTTCTTAGACAGAAACTTTTCTCCGACCCGCCAGAGCTCCGTCGTCAAAGATCTGATATGTTCCTCATAAGCTTTACTAGACTCCGCCAATTTCTCACGAGTCTTCAACAACTCACGCTCTAGGACTGATATCTCTTGTTTCTGACGCTCCTTGTAAGCTGACACCTCCGATTGAAGCAATTCCCTCTGCAAAACATTAAATAGTTCTATAACAATATTTAATTTTCGTTATATATCATGCTAACCTGCGAAAACATTCTTTGAAAAGCCATGCATAAAGACAATAGATTACCTTAATCGGTTGCCGATATATTCAGTATCAAAAGCATACACTAAACTACTATGTTTTAATGAACACTAAAAAGAAAACTAAAAATAAAACAAAAGTACCCATTAAAACATACTTTATTAAATAAATATATGACTTAACATGTCAACAACATAAAAAAAGTAACAAAAAGCCACACCATTCAGTAATCCATTTGCAAATAAAACCACCATACAACCTGATATAGCAATATCAATGATAGTATCGGTACTATACTGACCATTTTAGCCTTCATTCTGTTGAGTTTGTCTTCGTATTCAGCGCGTATCTCCATCACGGTGACGGATTGTGCATCTTTTGCCCCCTCTCCCTTCTGTGCGCGGACTATTTCTTCTAGAAGCTTCTGGAAGGAGTTGTCCAATTCGTCCAGCTGCACCTCCAAGCTAACATTTTGGAATGTCGTAGAAGAAAGCGACGCCCGCTCGTCATCATTCGAAAACGCCCGTTTTATTTTCTCCGCCGATATAGTTCTAGTGATAGACTTTTCTACCCAACGCTCCAAATTCATCACGCATTCTGACAGATCTTGGATGATAGCAGAATAACCTCGTTCAAGCTTGCACATTGTGGCATCATTAATTCTACCGTCCAGACTCAATATCTCCCGCCTCACAGTCCTCTGTACAGAGATTACCCTACTCAACTTCTGCGTGTACAAATCCTTTAAATTGCCGAACGTCTTGAAGCTCACGGACAATTCTGTCAAAAATTTTCTCATATTTATAATTTCAGACTCGTTTATCCTGTTCACTTCGGCCAATCTATCACGCTCTTTTTGCAGCATGATCTGCTTCTCTGAACATCTACGCAGATGCTTGTCAGTTGTCTCTAAGAAATTCTCAAGGTCCTCCATAGTGATAGTGCCCGCATTCAAACTCCTGCGCAATTCATTGTCGCCGTTAGACGCGTTCCCGAAGTTAGTCAACTCTTTCAACACTACATTAGATTTTATTTCAGATATCCTTTTTAGTATTATTGCCTGGTATTTAGCAGAAACTTTAATGATTTGACTTGCTCTGTTTTCAGTTACACTCATTTTGCTAACTTGCCTTTTGAGGTCTGCTATTTCCTCATTCTTTTGATGAACAATTTTCTTAAGTTGATTAGACAGCTGCTGGCAATTTTCTTTGCTGACTTCCAGGTCTTTGGAAACGTCCAACAGTTTATTTTCAGAATCTGCTATAAGGGATTTCAAGTAAGTAACATCACTTTGGAGGGCAGTGATTGTCCTGTTTTTGTCGTGAATGATCTTTTCTAAGTCTGAAATAGTTTTAATACTATCCATAGATGAATGTGTAAGATCTGACGTAGTGTTATCTACCTGATAGTGAAAATCGCGGTAGTCTTTCTCAATTGGACTTGCATATTTGTAACTTGCAAACTTATCTGTACCAGCTACGGCATCTGAAAAAAAATAATTTAAATGTTATTAAATTTATTTTCTATAGTTTATACGCTAGTTTGAATATATTTTTACACTTACACATATCTCTCTGACCTACAGCTTTAAGCCATTCTTCATTCCTCAAAGCCTTAAATACATCGTCAGAATGAGCTTCATTAACTTTCTGTTTTAATTCTGATAGCATTGATTCCTTTATCCCCAACTCTATTTGTAATATTGCTTTGTTTGCCTTCTCCTCTTTCAACTCTTGTTGCACAGAACCTATTAATGCATCTTTAGTATTTATACAGTCATCCTTTTCCTTCAAATCTTTTTCATTATCATTAATTTTAGATTGCAACATTCTTATTTCTTCCTGTAGCACAGTTATTTCTTTTTGTTGTTCCTCCAGCTGCTTCTCTGCTTTGATTTGATATTCTTGTAAAATAGAACATTTATTGATCAGATTTAATCAGGGAAGGGTAAAATGTAACGTAAAATTTATCATGCAACTCGGCTAAATGGGCCTAGTCCCATAGTCAATTTAGAGGTTTTTAATTAAAAAGAAAGAAAAAAACTTCAATGTCGGTTTTGACATTTGTCTTTTCTGGTCTATACTAGCAATGGACGTTATTCTCAAATAGACATTTATTCAACTAGTGATTTGCCTGAACCGCGATCACTCATGATTCTGTTATACTATAACTATCTATTTTCCATAACGTTACAAAATGAAACCAAATTCACACTGTCTGTTTCGTCGGAGGCTGTATAAAATGAAAGGCTCATCTCTCGAATACGGTTATAGAAAAGATTTGCCTTGTAGTTGATCTGTGAACCTCCCGTGCAAACGAGAGTTATATAGCTATCACAGGACAGTATATTGACATCGAATTTCAAATGCAATCGGCTCTCTATCCTGCAAGCATTTCCCTGAGCGCCACACCAGTGATAATATAAGGATGTTCCTAATGAACAATGCCCGAGATTTGCCCATACTAACCTTAGAAGAGTGGGCACTTCTCCAACAACTTTTATAGGTTTTAAAACCGTTTAATGACGTAACTTCAGCTATGACCGCTGAACTGAAGGCTCTGTTATAGCATTAACTCGATGCTTAATAAAAATGTACGAAAAATTGTTGGCGGGTCACTTATCACCACTATCTGAAGAAAACCTAGTCAGTCCTGCGGCAATAGTTGCAATGAATATAGGAGGTGGCCTAATGTAGAAAAGTGGTTCCTTTTCAGTTTGTACATTTCTAGTTATAAATGAGACTTTTGAAGACAAACAGGAAGCAGAACGGGCGAAAAAACAGGTGCAGGATATGATACAAAATTTAACTGCCGAAAAAATTCCCAGTCATCGATATCTAAAGAAGTTTCTCCGTGGCCTATTCTCTCCAAAATAATAGCTTCTGATAGGCCTCAACAAAGAATTGGAACTGCTCTGTCCAAGGCAAGACAAGAAGAAGATTTATATTTAGAGGACGACATGCTAGAAATACATAAGCCAGATGATAGTTGAAGTTGCCCCATAGACTGATGGCGAAATCACCACCAGAAGTATCCACATTTGGGCAAATTATTTCGTCATTACGGAAATGTTGTGGCAAAGACTGTTGCGTGTGCGGGAAATTTTAGTAAAGCCGGGCAGTTAATTTCTTAGCACAACTAAGTTGCTCAGATTATGTTCCTGAGCGAAAATACATAAACAAACAATTAACATAACCTAAAAAGGTATTGAAAATATTTGTTTATACAATGTTACTTATTTATTTAAGTATATTTGTATAAATGCATATTGTCAATTTGTATATAAGTTTGTATAATAATGAATTTGGAAATAAAGTGTAATCGATGTAAATATCATATTTTTTTAAGTACACCTGTTGCAGCTACTAGTATACATATACTGTACCTAATTCATTTTAACTTATAGACATTTTACTGATCTCGCAATACCAGTCTAAAGCCTGGTAAAGTACGAAGGGAAGGTTAGTAAAAACATTAACATTTTATTATAAAACTAACTTCAGCCAGCGTTTTTGTCCGCGTGGTTTACGATGACTTGATAATACATTTATCTCCAGAAAACCGTTTAGTGATAAGTGTGATAGTTCGTTATTTAGTTTTATGATAAAAAAAAACCTTATGTTATTCTAGAAATGTTACGACAAAAAGATTCGTATACTATCGTCCTAGACAGTAGGGCAAGAGACATCCAAACTCTACGATATTTTGAAAAGGTCAAAATATTGTCTAACTGGGCATTGCTTATAGTATTTTACTATACTTCCCGAGTTAGTTCGTTATTTAGTTTTATGGGAAAAAAAAAATCTTATGTTATTCTAGCAATGTTACGACAAAAAGATTCGTATACTGTCTTTTTAGACAGTAGGGCAAGAGACATCCAAACTTTACAGCAAGAGAATCAGTCACTCGTTGACGAGCTTAAAACAAAAGAATCTTAGTTAAAGAAATGAAAATCAGGGATGACAAATTAGAAGAACATCGCAAAGAAATTGATAATTTGAAGAATGCAATCAGTGAAGAGAGAAATGGTTATAAGAAAGATGTAGATGAATGTGAAATCAAAGGTTCCAGAACCAGAAACTCGTCAAGGTAAGTGTAAATGGTATGGATTTATTATCGAAATTGTAGTTTTATTTACTAATTTATTTTGCACATACTTCTGTTCACGCCATTAAAATGTTTGAGTGAAAAGGTCAAAATATTATCTTATTATGCATGGTTAATAGTATTTTACTGTATTTCCCGAATTAGTTCGTTATTTAGTTTTATGAGAAAAATCTTATGTTATTCTAGAAATATACGACAAAAAGATTTGTATTATGTCGTCGTAGACAGTAGGGTAAGAGACATCCAGACTCTACAGCAAGAGAATCAGTCACTCGTTGACGAGCTTAAAACAAAAGAAGCTTAGGTAAAAGAAATTAAAATCAGGGATAATAAATTAGAAGAACATCGCAAAGAAATTGATAATTTGAAGAATGCAATCAGTGAAGAGACGAATGGTTATAAGAAAGATATAGATGATTATGAAATCAAGGTTTCCTCATTGACGAAAACTATTGAAGAAACTCGTCAGGGTAAAGTGTATAGGGCATGAATTTATTCACGCCATTAAAATGTAATTTTCAGTTTGAGTGAAAAGGTCAAAATATTGTCTAACTATGCATTACTTATAGTATTTTACTGTACACCCGAGTTAGTTCGTTATTTAGTTTTATGAGAAAAATAATCTCATGTTATTCTAGAAATTTTACGAATAAAAAATAAACTGTCGTCCTAGACAGTATGGCAAGAGACATCCAAACTCTACAGCATGAGAATCAGTCACTCGCTGACGAGCTTAATGACGTCAAATATCAGCTTGACGTTAAAGTACACTCCTTACAAGAGAAACTAATTGATAACGAGAATATGACGGAAAAATTGAAAGATTCCTACGAATGCCAGATTGAAAATGTGATGGTGGCGAAACTAACAAATTATTTGAAAGATTAGGCCATAGAATTGGATATTTTGAGAAAGGAAAAAGAGGGGCAACAAGATATCACAAGACAATTATGAGAGTAAGTAATATTCTACTACATACTTTAGATTCCTGTGAAAATATGGCTCCAGTTTCAAATACATAATAACAAATTTACAAAAGACATTGCAAATTTCTCAATATAAGATTTCAACAAATGTCCCGAATTCGTTTAGATTCGCTATATGTGTTATTCCGTGTTAAAAATAGAAAGTGTTAATTTGATACTGAATAATAATATTCAACAAAAAGGCGTCTGCACATTTTATTGTAAGAAACATGCAACAACACGCATTTTCAACAAAATAATTTCCTTTTTCTACTTCCATATTCATAATATGAATTATATTATAATCCTATTTGATATATGTTAATATTCTTTTGTATACCTATTTATTTTTGCTTAGTGCTCAATTTTTTATATTTAGATATTGTATCGTAAAATTTACTTCACATGGATTTTTCATACAATTCGGCTGAATGGGGTTTATCCCATGGTAAATTTAGAATTTTGTAATTAAAAAGAAAAAATGAAACTTCAATTTCAGTTTTGACATTTGTCTTTTCTGGTCACTTCACGACAAGCGATGAGTTGTTGTCCATTTTTTAAATCACGTAACGCAACCGCTACCAAATTGCCAATGACCGATATCAAAACTGTCTATTTTGCTAACTAGTTATTTCCACACGCTAAAGTCAAACCGAATTTTACTCTTATGCTATCGTGATAAAGCTCAATTTCGGATTGATTACTTGATTACTCTGAAAGCCGAACAACGCGGAACGTAATAACATATACCTGTTTCATTCACACATATACTAACGTCACATCATTTAAACGTTCTACATTTCGCGTCACATTATATACGGTTATTAAAATTGCATTACATGACCGTCAATGTAAAGTCTTAATCTATAAAGACCGATCGCGAGGTGATCGCGGATATTTTCGAAGCGAGTCTCCCAAACATCAACCTTAAGTGATCTACTTAAGAGTGAATTCAGCTTTACTTTAAAGCGGTGTGGAAAATAGATAGTTATTGTATCACTGAATCACGAGAGACCGGGGTTCAGGCTCTCGCATCAAATCAAATTCATTTTTTTTTCCAACGCGATAGCGTTGATTTTTGATATGATTTCTTAGCGCCTATACGCATCGATACAACTAGGTTTGACGTAATCCTACTATGATATAGAAGCATGAGTTTGTGAGCATGTATGTACCGGACGGCTGTGATAATGATTCTTTTATAAAGTTCAATTCGCGATTTAGCTCTTCTGTGTAAACATAATTATTGGTGAGTCGGTCCATCAGACTCTTTATCTCTTCTTCCTTCTGTTCTATCATGTTTTCAGCTTCTTTCTTTCTAGTATTGATAAATTGTAGTTCACTATGATATTTTTCTTCAATTTCATCTTTTGTCTGTTTTTCATTTCTTAACTCCATACGAAGGGTCTCGATCTGTTCGCTTTTTTCAAAAACATTATTTTGCACTTCGACTAATTCATTATTTCTGTTACCAACTTTCTCATTCAACTTCATCAAGTGATTCTCATAGTATTCTTTCATTTTTGATTTTGCATCCTTTTCTGTTGCCAATTCTGATTTCAGATTATTTATTATCTTTTCCAATTTAGTTGTCTCATCATTAAGACTTTGTAACAATGACAGTTTCTCTTCCTGAAGAATCTGTATGTCCTGCATTTTTGTTTCAATCACCAATCTGTACTGATTATTATTATCTTTAATCTTCTGTTCCAATTCATTGATTTCGTTATTAAGTCTACTGTTTTCATCACTGTACTGTATAACCATTTTATTTTTAGCTTCAATTTCTTCATTAATGCGATGTTTCAAGTTGAAAATTTCATTATCTTTCTCTGATACAATGGTGTTTAGCGATTGTATTTCTG